TGCACCCCGCTCAGGAGTGCAGCTGCAAAATACAGTTCCACCCAAAGTCCTGTGGTTCGCGGCTATGGAAGACGTGATGGCATGGCATACAAAGGCGTGTAAATACAGCCTTGGAAGATTACGCGGCACGCCTACAGGCAGTATACCCTCGCCTTTAAGTTTCTTGAAGAGAGCATAGAACTCGATCGCGGCAGAATCGTAGCCTTGTTTCCAGCTCACTTTAACAGGCGTGGACTTCTCCAAGTCTTTTATCGTTGACTAATACTCCCAAAGCAGTGAAGCCTACACTTATTAGTAGTATACCTAGGCTCGCCTCTGAGAGTTTTCTAAGTTGGTATAGGCCTCGATCGCAGTAGCAGTTTAAAGCCTGTCTACCATTTAAAATTTTAGTCAGATACACAGGCGTGGAGACAGAGAGGAGAAAGTACAAGTAAGTATCTCCGTATTCTGGAAGACGAGCACCAGCTAAAGATTTATGGCTTAAGTACGGAGTACATCAGGCTCCTGTCTATTTAGTCTACCTGAACGGTTGAGAGTAATTAGCGACTGAGCCTGTCTCGCCTGTCTCGCCTGTCTCGCCTGTCTCCCATTTCCAGCCGTACCGGGTACATTGATATCTCGGTCTCTGGAACGTTCTGACATCAAGTTGAACGGAGGATGACATTGGTCGGACTTTACGGAGAACTTGGGCCAAAGACGCGGCGATGCTGAACCAACACAAAGATCAAAAGTACTGCTCTATAAGTTGAAATATCAGAAGTCGTTACATCTCACATTACGTGCTAGGCTAGGCTTAAAGAGAGCCGGAATACGAGGTTGCGAAGTGGTGTCGGTGCTTGGAAGCGGATCACTGCACTGTAGCTGACGCTCCTCCTGTCAGCGGCTTGGACCGAGCATTGCACGCGAGAGAAGTGGGAACAATGAGAGTACGCGTACAGTACTGGCAGGCCTCCTTGATGACTTATGGCTGCTCTGAACCAAAGTGGATGATTAGGAGACGATGTTAACAATTGATTTGGAAGTGGGTCTTTCATTCTAAAGTCGGGCCTCACCATCCTTTGTTGTTGGGTAGAGAGAGGGTGAAGTGGATCGTCATATGCGGTTCGACCGTGTCAGATCAGATTGAGTTTCAGCTGATGTGCTCCGTCCGGAGTACTGAACCTGACATTAGTCGATCAACGGCCCCACGAGCCCTTCGCCGCGACGGGCATCACCACAATCAGGTCAATTGCGAAACGGGAGAGCCGATGGCGACTATCTCCCGCGAACAGCGACATGTGAGAAATAACAGAGCGGGAGCGTTGACCGTGAGACCCCGGCTCTCGAGGAACTCTCACAAGCAATCGAGGCGAGGGAAGTATTTGTGAACGACAGTATGGTGTTCATGTCTGCTGGCGTAGGGAATTAGCTGCAAGTAGGCCGGAACTGGTGGCTCCCTCCGTGAACACCACAGACATTAGATGAATGCCCTAAGTGCCTTCTTCCATCCAGGCACTCGTCCGCTTTGGGCCGCAAGTTCGAGACTGCCCCGTCTAATCCCGGTCGTGACGTCCATCTCGCTCGAACGAATGAACATCTTCCAATCTCGCGAATAGATCTTCCAGCCAAGGTACAAGGCAATGACGATCGGTGCAGCAAGGAAGTTCTCAAAAAAGATTTCCGGATCCGGGCTGGTGCCCAGTGGGAATAGCGAGACGTAGAACGTTGCTATGATGGCGATCGCACATAGGGAGACGCCGATGTAGGAGCCCCAAATGCCGAAAGCGGCTTGGTAGGGCAGCTGCTCCTTGGTGAAGCCATGGTGGTACCAGCCATGGCGGAAACCTATAGAATTTTGTCAGTACAGCGTCAATTTGATACGGGTCAAGCGCGGCACTTACGGATATGTGAGAGGTTGATGCTGAACCAGAGGAAGAAGAAACTCAACCCGGAGAGCGAGAGCAGCCAGGTGAAAATGGTGCCCGCTGCATTAGCCTCCCCAATGTACGCGAGAAGGCCGAAGAGAAGCTGGATAACGATGCACCACACAGGCCGACCCTGTCTATCGACGTACATCAGAAATCTGGGGCCCATGCCTCGTGCCGCGAGGGCCTGCATGGTGCGAGAAGATCCGTAGGTGCAGCTGTTCGCAACACTGATGACCGAGATGGTGATAACGGCATTGAAGACTGAAGGGAGGCCCTTCACACCTGCATACTTGATGGCCAGCACAAAAGGAGATGCCTTGGTATTGGCTCCACTAGCGCCCAGGAGATCAGGGCTATCCGAGGGGACAATGAGGCCGACGATGAACAGCGAGAGCACGTAGAATGTTGCAATTCGCCAGAAGACCTGCCGGGTAGCCTTAGGAAGGGAGCGGTGAGGGTCAGCTGCTTCGGCGGCCGCGAGTCCGACCAGTTCCGTTCCACCAAATGCGAAGGCTGCTGTCACGAAAACACTGGCTTGGTTAGAACTTCGAACGAATGTTGCTTGCGAACCCGACCAAGGGACTTACGTGCAGAAGCCCTTGAATCCATTCTGAAACGCGCCTGGATCGTGCCAGTACCGCGCACCGATATATCCACGACTGTCAGTGGATACACCACCACAGTCAACGACGATGCCGAAGATGATGAAGCCGATACAAGCAATGATCTTGATCATGGACAGCACAAACTCGACTTCACCATATCCGAGAACGCCGAAGACTTGGACCAGGATCAGAAAGACCAGGAACACAGTAATCCAGACAGAGACATGAATGTCGTCTCGCCAATATTGGATCGTGATCGAAGCCGCGGTGAGTTCAAAGGGGAGAACGGTCAGCCACCCAATGGCATAGTCCTAGGATCGATCGTCAACATCCAAGCAATATGAAGACGAGGCAAACTCTTGAGCCCGATCTCAAATGACACTCCTGCAGAGAATTGGGGCCACCTACCCATCCGACTGCGAAACCGAGGGACGGGTCCACGAAGCGGGTAATGTATGTGTAGAAACCGCCATTCACTGGGTACAGGACTGTCAATTTGTTAGCGAACGGGACATCAAATCTGTGGGAGGCAGCATGATCCTGGAAACACAGTCTGCCAAAAGCGGGACCGCCCCTGTGCGGACTGACCAGCCAATTCCCCCAGTGCCTGCATCGTGCAGAGCAACATGAAGCCGATGATGATGAAACCGAGAAGAACACTGCCAGGGCCGCCTGTTCGCAAAGCACCACCCGAACCGACGAAAAGACCGGCTCCGATCGAACCGCCTGTGAACGTTTGTCAACGCAGGGTCCTTGACAGCATTGTGAGGATGGCTATACCGATCGCAATCATCTGCATGTGTCGCGAACGCAGCTTCTGCGCGAGCGGATTGTGTTGTCGCTCCACGGGGTCGATCTCATCTTCATAGGTGATTGCGCCTGCCAGCTTGTGCATCTTCGGATCATTGAGCGCCTCCGGGTCGACGCCATGCCTTGTGGCCTCGTTGGCAGTGACAGCGTCCTTTTCTCTGGGTTCCGCCATGTTCGCAGACAAGAGAACGCAGTATGGCGCAGTTTGAGAGGGAGAGTGGCAGAAAGCTGGCAGACTTTCGGGTCAAACTGGGAGGGGAGGGTTGCATTTATCTGCGGCCAGTTCCCAGATCATCGTTTTTCGAATAGGAAGGCGTGAACACCGCGTGCCAACAGATCAAGTAGCAGGTGCACAGCATGATGGGTGGGCTTGCAGTAGTTAGCGAGGGCCTGTGCCCTTGTCGCCCACAGCAGCATAACCCCGACACGGCTCCATGCGCCAAAGTCTGACTCTCATAGGACGCGGAGGGCAGATGGGCTGCTTACAGTAAGGTCAGTCCTGATACTCAGAGTGGCGATAGTGGCATTGCACACGATTGCGCTCGTACACAACGCCTGCCATCTACAATCTGTGACGTTTGGGTTGGCCTCTGAATGCAACACCAGTTCTCCATATTTCCCCGCAAAAAAGAAACTGGTGGAACGGCCAATTCCATTACGCAGGGTGACTGACTTCAGAGCCAATAGACGCCGCGAAGCCGAGGGCCACCTTGGTTAGCTTGAGAGGAGCAAGCATTAATTCCGTTTTGCGATGGACCAATTGTTGCCCCCGAAAGATTGTCTTGGCATATGCTTGGCAAAATGGGGTCTCGGCGCCGTCCAGCTCGATCGAATCTGGAATCTAGAATCTGACGGGCGCCTTCTACCGGAGAGTACGAGTATGCGGGCACCGGCGATGAGCAGCAACGGAGATTGAAACCCAAAGCCACATGTCACATGCCACACTAGGGAACTGTACAGTAAGCGAGTAAGTTCATAGTAGTCCGTACAATACAATCCTGCACCTTCGACCGGCCCGCTCCAGCGCGCCTCTTGTCCCGAGAACCTCATCTCTTGTTGTCGAGGATCAGCATATCCTAGTCATCGCGGGGGGACGAAATTGAGTGACAACGATATGATATGGTATTTCAACGACCTGTCAAGATATGCAACAACGACAAACTATTCTGAATATGGAGAAAGCGAGCAATAAAGATCAAGTCAATGAGTCTGGGAACCAGGGACGTCCTTGTACTGTAGCCACGAGATATGAGCTGTCAGTGCTATATCCACCCACTCACTATGACAAAATGGTCCTGTACGTATGGGAAATACTTCCCGGCCGAGCTCGTCTTTGATATGGTTTATTACGACCAGTGCATTCCCTGTATCGTATTACTGCTACTGCTGCTGCTCCTGCCATGGCTCGCGCTAACCCCGACCCCTGTACACATTCACTCGTCCACGCCTCCATGCACGCGGGGGCGTTCTTTCTGAGGACGTCACTTCGAATCGATGAATCTGGTTCTCGATATCCTATCCTATTGTATCCGATCTTGATACCTTTCACGCTCCGCGCATGCCCTGGTATGTCTTTCTTCGCTGACCGGGCGTAAGAGACCACATTGCTCGTCAGCGGAAGGTGACACTTTACACCTGACCAACCGGCATGTGTTGGCACCGAGGTTTACCGGACTGTTTACTCCTCCGCTAGACTCTGTCCCTCCCTCAATCCCTCGACCTTCAACTCCTCGCCCATGGCCCGTCTATACAGATCGCGCACATTCTCCGTTACTGTCTCGAAGTGGCTACTAGCGTCGAAGGAGTTGGAGATGAAGATCTGATCGTTCACACCAGACTCGAGCGGCTGGTACAACGGGATCGGAGGACCCATGAATTTCTCTTCGATCCTGCCCAGCCTTTCGAGGCCGGGTTGGAGTTCGAGATGGTGGTTAGCCGACGTTTCGGCGATGGTGCTGACGATGGCGATGTAGTAGCCCTTGGGGCAGACGTTGTGGGCGGAGGACACCATGGCGATGTAAATGTCGTGCTTGCGGCCGACTTGGGATTGCGGGATGATGAGTTGGAGCGAATCGGCATCGCCGGTCTTCTCGAGTGGGTGGTTCAAGATACAGATCGCCTTCAAGAGATGCCCTACCACCTGCACCTTGCCGGGGAAGTAAGATGGGTCACCGAGGATCATCTTCGTCTTCGTGGTGAACTTCATTCCTTCTTCGTTTTCGTCCCCGCGGTCGCGCATCGTGGCTTTTATGCCTGAGATTTTGGACCCGTCGTAGAGAAACTCGTCGACCGAGGTGTTGAGCATATATGTCCCGCCGTAGATAGCGGAGAGACGAGCAAACCCCTGGGGGAGTTCTCCGAGCCCGTACAGTGGGTAGATGTAGGGGGATTTGCCATAGCGTGCCATCGAGTTGGCGTACAGCCGAATCCGCTCGACGGTTTCTTTGGCTTGGCCGGGTGAGTTGATGTAATCGTCGGTTGAGTACAGGGCCATTGAGTGGCCGATAAAGTCTCGCGTTGAGGCTTCCAGGCCGAATTTGTCGTACACGTCTTTCATGGTGCATTGGTTGAGGTTCAACCCTGCAAGCGTTAGCCCTTTCTCATTCTTTTTTGGCTCCATCTCGGCGTTCGCACCATTATGTGTTGCTGGGTTGCTTTCTTCGAAGGCACCCACCCATTCTAGGAATTTCTTTGCTCTCCTCTTTTCGAACAGGCCCATCAACGGCGAACTTAGTGCTTCAGCTGCGGTGGAGGGGACTTTGGCGACGGTGGCTCGAGGTCCTGAGCCTTGCTGTACGAAGCTGCCGGCAATCTGTTTGAACTCGAGGTATCGCGTGACATCAGTCGAGACCAGGATGTTTGTGAGTTCGCCATTGGCCATCAGAAGCTTGGGAACGAGGTCGATGTTCCAGTCGTTCACGCGACCGTACTTCTTCCACGGCTCTTCACCTTTGTTGTAGCCATATTTCTTGAACAGCTGCGCGGACCATGTCAGACGATGCCCTGCTCTTGGGAAATCACCATGCTTACAGCCTCGATGTTTACAGATGCGGCTTCCCTGCATATCGTCGTCAGCGCTTGTTACTCGACCTCGATGTGTATGCGATCCGTACCCGCCATAGTGATCGTTGCGGTCGATGTGGAGGACCTTCTTGCCCTTGACGGAGAGTACGCTGTAGTGGTGTCAGCAAGAGAGCCCTGCTCTTGAGAGGCAGGCGAGTCGTACCCGGAGAGCACACATTCCGTCAAGCCTGCACGCTGAGTGTCAGTCAACGATGATGATGGTGGGGTAAGTGGCTAGCGGAAGGGCATACCTGTGCCTAGGACGATAACATCATACTCTGGGGCAATCTCCTCCATCGTCAAAGGCCGGAAAGAATGTCGATCGGAGGAATATCAGAAGATAACAGGAATATTGGTGAGGCAAACAAAGAGTAAATGGTCGGTGAACATTGTTGTCGCGCTATGCCACCACAGGCATCGCAGCGTATACCGAATGAGGTCATGGTGCCAAGACTGAATCTCGCCTCCTTCACCTCAAGTTCGGCTCACTTAAATCACCTCAGGTAGGAGTCTATGAGACGCCCACAATCGCAAGCTTATGGTATCTTCATCTCTTAATATACCTAGGTGGAATTGCTAGAATACCGTTGGCCCCTGTCTACCAACGGTCCCGCTCCAGTGGCCTCCATAACAGCAGAAGCGCTGGCACCAAGAGCATCGCGTTTGTTGTAACTACGACGTAAAGAGAGCCCTGCCATGCGCGGTGTATGCAACCTTAAGTGATCCTGGATCACAGCGGGGCTCTAGGACCTGACGGGTTTCACTCTAATGTACAGAAGCCAACAAGAGTACGTGTACGTGGGAGAGTTGGAACGGAGATCCAGAAAAAACCCCTGTTGTTGATAAGAGTCTGCGCGACAGACATGCTTATACCCTCGTTGAATTCCTGCATGGACGGCAAGAGGGAATGTCCGTCCGGAACATATACTCGCTGGCTGGTTGATTCCAGCGTTGCCGGAACTCCCTCGCATGCGTAGGGGCTGCCGCAACCGACCCCAATGCGTAAATTATCCGGTATACAGTCGATTGATTGATTGCTGTGGCCCTGATCTTCCAGGTGTCAAGCAATCCAACCCCCACACAAGAGGATCTCAAGGAAACAAAACAGACTGGTATGTTCTCCGCGCCGGTCTCCGTAGCCGATATGAGCCAGAGATTTAAATCTATGGGTATTTCCTGAGACTGTTTTCCGTTCGGCATATCTTGTTCTGCGTCTTGACATCAGAAACCTTTAAACATGTCCCCATGGGCAATAATAGGACGCGAGAACGGACTCGCCTCTCTCATCCCGAGCCTTCAAAGGAGTGAATGAAGGGGTTGAAAACCGGGAGATTGCAGGCATGTTTTGCATTGTTGAGGCTGCTTCGTCGTAGTCGGCCCCTTCTGCAGGGCCAGAGGGAGTGGTCAGATCCTCCATAGCTAGTCAAAGCCAACTCCCCGGAAGAACAAAGGCACACAAGGCGGGCCACAGCTCGAGCTAGGTGGGTGAACGGTCGACAATCATCTCCAGCAAGTACAACACCCCCCTGCTCGCCAACAATAGAGTTTCACTCGACCACCTGGAGTAGGAGATAGCAAAGAGGTCGCCGTAGAAAGGGTGTGGAACCCATCCACGTCCGCAGCCCTCGGGTATTAACGAGGCAAGGCTTGGCATCATCGCGTATGATGACGCATAGCGCGAGTCGCGTTTTGTGACGCGTACTTGACCTTTTCAGGCGGCGTGATCACCAGCTGGTGCCAGCTCTGTACGTTCTATATAACTACATCAGCAAGTGTTCGTTCTACATAACTTCATTAGCAAGTGTTCGTTCTACCTAACTTCATCAGCAAGGGTTCGTTGACGGCAACAAAAAGTGAAGGTGAAGCGTGAGAGCAAAGCTTCAGGACTGGAAGAAAGTACAAAAACTAAAGGTGAAGCGTGAAAGCAGAGCCCCGGAACCGGAAGAGGTCACCATTAGCTCTTGTATAAGGCGATTTGCTTTGGCAAGCTAATTAATTTACCACTTGAAGTACGACCACGACATGAGGTTCAAGTGTAGCTCGCTCCGGTGTCAGGGTATCACGCCGTGCCCAATGGGATGATAGGGCGTGAACCGTGGTCGCAAGGACCTTGCCGCGTGAAACTGCCGCGTCCTTCACGCAGCCTGCGACTTGCACTAGGACATCTTATGCCGAGTGAGGGCCGGCGAGCATAACGGGGATGCCCTGCTTCTACACGTGGCAGGTGCTCAAAGATGGGTGAGTACGAGGGGACGGGGCGAGCAAAGACAGGATTCAGACTGAGTTTGTGTTGAGCTACTTGGGCATCTTCAACGTCCAGACAAGGAGGCGCTCTTCTGAGCGCCGAGTCTGAATCAGATTACTTCTCTGTCGAAGCTGATATTTTGGTCGTTTCCTTCGTATTTGTTGTTGCGTCCTGAGCATCCTGTCGTCATATTCATACTTCACCTGTAGGTGCGGTCTGTTGCGCCGCTGCTCGCTTCATTTTCTCTCTTGTCACGGAGATCTGCTCACTGAGTCTCCATGGATAGTCAAACGTGTCCATGACGATTTCACACAGCTGCAAGGATATGTTTAGCACCATCCGGCTGATGGCAAGAGTTGTGAGACGTACCTGATAAGTGTCCCCACTAGCAAACTCGTCGTCGTTCAAGACTGCCTCCAGCTCTTCCACTGTCCTTGTCGCTCGACTCTTTGTCTTGATGCCGAGATCTTGCCTGGCGCCAAAGAATTCTAGCATCTTCTGGTAGTCCCACATCGTGCTCACGTCGTTGTATCCTTGCTCCGGGCCGTGGATGGCCCTCTCGATGGCGTAGCCGTTGTTGTTGATGACAAAGATGATGGGCTTGAGTCCATACCGAATGTATGATCCGATCTCCTGCACTGTCATTTGCAGGCTGCCTTCGCCGACAATCAGGACCACTCTGCCGGTATGATTCATCTCCTTGGCGGCAAGCAACGCCCCGAAGCAGGCACCAACCGTGAAGCCGATAGATGACCAGAACGTCTGGGTGATGTATTTGACGTCGGGAGGGAAGGTCGCGTCAGGCATGCCGAATTGTGCTGTGCCGGATTCCACCAGTAGGATATCATTCTCGTGAAGGAAGCGTCCGAGTCTTTGCCAGACATAAGCCTGCTTGATCTGTCCGGACTTCTGATCGAGCAACACAGGTACATCTACTCTGGGCGCTTTCTGCGGCCTTGGGAGGTTGAACTTTTGCGGGTCGGCTTCCAAGGCTGCGACCAGCTTTTTCAGAACGGGGAGGAAATGGACGCCGTCAAAGGTTTGACCTTGCACTTTGCAGAAGTCATGTCCCAGCCAAACGAGGTGCTCATCTTTAATCTCTCTTGTGAAGCCTCCTGTATTTGAGTCCGACGGAAGCGGGCCGATGTTGAGAACGAGATCGGAGGCTTCAATGCTATCGGCGACTCCTGGGAACGATACTGCTAGGATTTAGCCCAATTCACGGCTAGTTGCCTGCGATTCACGCACCTTTTCCGTTGTAAAGACCGTTGTAATAGGGTTTGGTCTCGTCAATCACTCCCTTCGACAGAGGCGTCGAGTAAGACGGGAACTGCGTCAGTTCGGCCAGCTTCCTGATCAACTCGCGTCCGCCGTGCCGCACACCAATGATATCGGCTAATATGGCGGGGCTGGTAGCCTTCTCTACCACGGAGAGGATGCTGCTGACAATCTCATCTTCAATCTTGCCGTCTTTGTTCTGCACGCTCGTATCTAGGGGTGTCTCAAGTCGCTTTGCGTCGAGCGCGACTGATACTGAATCGACAGGGACATAGATGTAGACAGGGAGTCGACTTCGCAGGCATGCAATGAGGGTCCTGTCAATTTCCTCCGCCATTGTATTGTCGTCCATCAGGTAGGCGTGGGTTTCGCGGATCGGTTCGGCCATCTGGATATAGATTGCGTGGTCCATGTTGGCTTTCATGGTGTGGTGAAGCATGGCTCGCGCTTTTTGCATTGACCTTGCCGGCATGCCCACAATGTGGATCATACCAGCGTGCTCTGCGTAGCTGCTCTCTCGAAGATTGGGTTAGCGATCGGCTCTAGACGGACCAGACACCCTCAGAGATGATGGTTGAGTGATCGCACGTACGCGCCAGCAACGCCATTCATAGCCGACAACTCGCCAACAGCATAGGTTGTCACGAGCACAGCCGGGGAGCCCTTGATCCTCGTGTAGCCATCAGCAGCATAGGCGCCATTGAGTTCGTTGCAGCAGCCGATCCACTTCAATCCCGACACATTGTAGATTTCATCTAGGAGGGTGACTGAAAGGTCTGTGTGAGTGGCCTCAAACGCGTCTGATGAGGATGCCAGTAGAACTCACGATTGAAATCTCCAGGAACTCCCAGAATATGTTGTGTCCCAAGCTGTTTGATCCTCTGGAAGAGGTACTGTCCCATACATACGGTCGATGATGAGGTCATGGTGAAGTCCGTGAGGTCAAGTCCAATTCAGACTGATGATTTACAGCAAGTGAGAGAAGTGAGGTAACGAGAGCTCCAGGTGCTGACAGCCTCGTCATCCAGATATAAAGAGGATGATTCCCAGCTTGGAAGTCCAACGGTTTGAGCATCGGCTAAGCAGGAGGGCACCACAGAACAAGGGGTGTTTCTGCTGGGGAAATCGACCGAGGCTGCGCGGGGAACGCACCGCTTACACCACTCAGTCAGTTACATTACTCGCTTATTCGCGGTTATCTCGCTAATTTCGTGGGGTTTAATTAGTGGCGCCTGGGGTGGCCGTAGGGCCCCGAGGTGGCCCCTAAAGGACACCCACTGAGTAAGCAGCCTCGCCAGCACAGGGCTCTTGGGATGTCAGAAATTCGGTCGTACTCCCAACGCGTATTGGTGTTGAGTTGCGCGCCTTTTCGTCTTTACGGAGGATCGACCTCGGCGACGTGATCGAAAAACAATACTTTTACTAACAGCGATTAAGGCTTGTTCTTCCATTCAGTCCCAGACGCGGGGACCACTATATCTCACAGCTGCTCAAAGGGGCCTTACCCCGGCCTTACTCCCATAGGTGGCCATACTCATATCGCCATCCATCGTTCGTGTCCGTTTGCTGTTGAGTCATGAAAACCGAATGCGTCAAATGGAATGATAAGACTAAATCCCTGAACTTTTCTTTTATCAGTGTCCGGTCCTTTTGTTGGAAGTCCAGAACCACGATATGTACATCAAGGCTATCAGTGGACACTTTCCCTTGGCTTTCCTGACGTGCGCGACCAAAGGGGCTGATTGCGGCTGCTTCAACTTATTGGCCTTTTCATGGAAATGCGATGCCGCCATCGACGTGGATGACTTGTCCGGAGATGTACGATGCTCCGGGGCTCGCGATGAAAAGGACCGTCTCAGCAACCTCGGTCGCTTTGCCCTCTCTCTTGATGTGCTGGTTGTTCCTTAGCCTTGCTCCGATGGGTGACCCCTCCATGGACAGATCCGTGGCTATAGGCCCAGGAGATACCACGTTGGCGGTGATGCCCTTGGGGCCAAGCTCCTCCGCAATGGCAACTGTCATGGAGGTCAACGCTCCTTTGGAAGCACCTACGTGTTTATTAGCCTTGAGAGACAGTTTTTGCATGACGAAGCTCGGCACGGTCGCGACCACGTCGACGTGGCTATTCTCTAGACTTACAGTATACCGGCAGCATCCACGAGCCAAGGCGGGAGATCTATATTCCTCCAAAGTTAGCATTGTTCTAAGCACCAAATTTAGGACTGATGGGTCTTGTGGCTGACGTCTGCCACCATCCAACGGAGCCCGTGGGATGACGTTGACGGGACGGGGACGGGAGACTTGCGATGCTTCCTATATTGATGACACGTCCGCCTTCCCTCATGTACGGAAGTGCTGCCTGGATAAGGTCGAATGGACCTCGAACATTGATTCGGAAGGTCGTATCCCATTCGTCGAAACCGACGGATTTGATTCCCTCAACATTGGGTGCAGCGTACCCGGCATTGTTGACGATGATATCAATGGTTTTGGTGTTGAAGGACTTCAGGGCCGCATCGACGAGCGTTTTGCCGAAGTCGGCGCTCGAGGCATCGGCTTTGACGGCCGCCGCCTGAACTCCAAGACCCTTGATCCTACTGACGACTTCCTCTGCAGGTCCGGCGGAGCTGTTGTAATGGATCAACACCTACAATCCAGCGGTTAGCCAAGGGTTATATGGAGGGTATTCCTGGCTATACATTGGCACCTTGTCCAGCTAGGGCGATGGCGGACGCTGCCCCTATCCCATTCGGCTTTCCCGCTCCCGTGACTATGGCTGTCTTGCCCTTAAGATACTGTTGAGACATGGCGTTTGAGAAAGCTTTAAGTATTGGCGAAGATGCACAGTGGGTTGGTTGAGAATCAATGATGGTGGAAGTGATGAGGAGAGGTCGTCCTCAGCTCGGCGCTGGCTTGTCGTCCCTTTTATCTGAGGCCAAGATTTCTTGCGTGACCAAGGACATCATTGCGGCAGAAACCATGTTCTGTAATCCTAGGTTCCATTCCAGGGTGCGCCGTAGGATGAGGTCTTTCTCAGCACCTGGCAGGCGGGGACTTGGTGGATTCCGCTGAGGCGTCTTTGCAATCAATTTAACACTCGCTGTCTAGTTCTGATGACCGACGTTACAGGCGTTTATGGACCTTGTGACAGGGCCCGCTCTCATGCTAGTCGCCGAGATGCCAGAGACACGAGCTGAAGCTTCCATGACCGGGGTTTCCATGCGGCTAATAGATATCAGCCCACTGAGTCCTCCGCTTCGATTGGGTCGCCCGCTCGGCGAGCACTGGGGCTCCGCCGAAGAATGCTTATCTAACCGCCCACTTGCAGTAGTCGATGCTTCGAAATATTGATACTTCTCTTGTTTGATGACATGTGCATCATCAACATAGCGGAGGACTCCTCGCGGCCGGCTACGGCTTTTGAGATGGGGGCAATGAGTCGAACAATATCCCACGGAGCAGTGCCTAATACGAACAGTGCTTATAAGCCGGCATCAATACGCCAACATGCTTCTACTCACCATCAAATATATCACACTGCACGGGTCTTCAGGACATTGCATTAACAAAAGGATTCGCACCAACAACCAGCGTACACGTCCAGACCATCATTGTCCAACAACATCAGACTGCAACCACTTCCAGCTCGAGTCCCGCTGGTTTTAGGATGCCTTCAGTACTCCTCTTTGGCGCGACCGGTCTCATTGGCTGTGGGTGATCCCTTCAAGCTATAGTATCAATTGCTGACATTCTCGAAGCTCGCCTCGCGCTCGAAGTCAAGAAGTCACACCCTGACTGGCCCCTGACTGTATTTCTGCGCAACACCAATGTGGATGAGTGGTTCAGGACGGTTGCCAAAGCAGATCGGATTGTACATGGCTCGATCTCGGATACGGAGCTCGCCCGTTCTCTGAGCAAGGAGCATGATATAGTCATCAACGCCATCACCTCGTTCGATGGTGGCTTTATCGCCAATGTCATCTCCGGCATGGAAGAGCGACCTTCGAATTCGAAGGGCACCCTGATCCATGTCTCGGGCACGGGAAATTTCATCGATTACGGAAAGACCGGCAATTTCAACCCCGCCAGCAAAGTCTGGAATGTTAGTATGGCCAGCAGCGCTCAAGGTTACGCATACTGACTGAAACAGGATGACAAAGAAGAAGACATTCGGCAGATAACAGGATCCATGTTCAATGGAGCTACGGATGTTCCGTAAGAGCTTCCCATCCCGGCCGACAGGGGGTCTCCAGTGCTGACATGTGGACAGTGTACTCGAGGCAGGTGAACTGGGAAAGATCATCACTTACATTGTGTGCTTTGCGATGGTAAGCTGCCCTTGCCTTTCCGCCAACGGCTCCCTGTGGACAGCGCATCTCCCAGCTAGGATATTTGATATGAACTCGCGGTTCCCTTTCACTATTGTTTCGCGGCTCCTGGTTAGTCCAAGAGAGGTGTTGACAGTTTCCAGACTTATGGACCCAACATCGGCCCCGTTCCAAACCTGGGCGTTGCGTACAATATTCTCACGTCCAATGCGAAACAGCTAGGCTACGCGCCCTATGTCGGTGATGGCACAGCCGTCGCAAGCACAGTCCATGTGAGTTCCTCCCGGATCAGACGGTCTTCCAATGACGGCGCAAGCTAATGCATGTCCATAGATCGCCGACGCTATCCCCTTCCTCAACAAGATTGTAGGAATAGCTGGAACGGAGAAGCCCACAGGTAGCGCATACTCGCGATACTACATCCTTCATGGTGAAAGGGTCAGTTGGAAGGACATGAGCACTGCCTTGGCAAAGGTTCTGCACAGAAAGGGCGACTTATCCTCTCCAGAGCCGAAAAGAGTGCCATCTGCAGAGGCGGGCGCGGGGGAAATAGGCGCCCTCGTGGCGTCGAATATGCTCGTGCAGGGTGATCGTGCGGCCAGACTGGGTTTCAAGGCCACACACCCGTCAATCCTGGTCCAGATGCAGGAGGATCTGGCGTAGCAAGGTTTCAACGTAGTGCTCCGTACAGTATTTTAGATTGCCCACTTGACGGAGGAGGCCTCCTACTACACCTCCATCATATTTCCCTCAGTGGAGACCTGCTACCAAATAGCTCAAGATGTGTATTGACCGGGGTATCTCGGGAGAAGAAACTGCATATTGTGTCTGCGAAGAGCGTGCATTGTGCAGGTTAGATGGCACAGTAACGGCGTCTAGAGTGATTCGTTGAGTTGATACTGGTAGAAGTCATAGGTACTCAATTCGCAGGACCTGGTACGGAGTAATGGTTTGTTTATTCGGTGCCCTGATTAGGCCACCTAGCTGAGCTAGTGGCTGTCTACAGAGCCTTGACTAATCAGACGGCGTTACCAAATTTTAGCGTGGCCTTTGCTTCCTCCACATTCAGACTCGGACGCTTGGTTATCGACTCGACCAGGCCGAATCGAAAATCTCGCAGTCCTTTTGAGTTCGACGCTGATTCCAAGTAGAGACAAGCACAGCGTCTCTCACGAACAGCCCCAAGAGCACCAACAGGTCCGGACTCTTAGTCATTCTTCACCATCACGTAATCCTCAGCCCTATCAGCGGCGGGCGTGCGGACCTTCAACTTGCTCCGACCTTCCGCAACCTTGAAAAATACGTCTATATCGAAGTCCACACTCCGGTCCACTATCCTCACGTAGGAACTTTTGATGTTGCAGACCCCGTTAGCGGGCTGAACGCTACCCGAAGAATTCCTGGCGACGAAAGTGAACCGGCTTCGCACTGCGTCATGTTGACAAACAAGTCATCTGGCTTACCAGTATGAGCTTGCTGGCCTGTGCATTGTGACAACGCGCATGCATCTTTCAGTCTCGCATACTGTAGAATAGAGGCCGTCAAGATGCCGATGTTGAAGGCGCCTTCTGAACCTCAATCTAGCTACGTATTGCAATGAGTTCCTCGAGCACCCCCATCCAATCCAGCAACCAACCATCGCAACAGTCTACCACGGCCACTCAAGACTTGCCATGCTTCGACTGCCGACGGCGAAAAGTCAAGTGCTCCAAGACGGAGCCATGTGCGAACTGTCAACGATTCGGGGTCGAATGCGTCTACGAGGATACAGGCCGCCTGGTGCACAGACGGACGCCCACCTCCAATGATCCCCTGGTCAGACGCATCGCTGAACTCGAAGAACTTGTGCGGAACTTGAGTCGTCGACCCCAACAAGGCAACCCAATGAACACCATGGCCGAGAATATTGGCCAGAAGTTTGCGAACCAAGCGCCTGCCGTTGGCAACACCGAAGGCAGGCTCGTCTTCGACAAGGACAGGTCTCGTTACCTTCACAAGGGTTTCTGGGCCGCAATGTACGACGAAGTCAGAGACTTGAAGTTCACTTTGCAGGAAGAGCGTAAGTGATTTTCGAAAGCTGTTCCGCTATGAACAGGATCCCTTGTTCTGATTGCCCGCCGCCGTCCCTGGTTGCTGACAATCATGCAGCGAAGGCGCACGGAGACACGTTTCTGTTTCCCTACATTCGAGAAGAGGCCTGCCGACCGGCCGTTGTTGATCTGCCGACTCGTGAGAGCGACTTCTTGGTCCAAACGTTTGTCGAAAAGGTCGACCCTTTCGTCAAGATTCTGCACAAGCCGACACTTCTCCTGGAACTGAATCACTTTCGCCGTGGCATTTTAGCAAATTCGGCCGAGTTCCAAGTCCGTTTGTTCGCCGTATATGCCTTGGCACTGTTACCGCTTTGTTCGACCATGGTGGAGTATCGTTTCCACGAAGTGAAAAAGGTATTGCTGTCGCGCTACCGGTCGCATGTCGAGCAGGGGCTAAGCCAATTGAACCTGACGACAACTCAATCCGTGTCGACACTACAGACATTCTTGCTCTATATTGTGGGTTCCATGACCCGATCCCCAGACTGATTCAACAGCTCACTGGTTTGGTGTCAACAGACATTCCTGTTTTGGACGGGCGAAATGCTCCACGTTAGCACTCTTCTAGCCGTGGCCCTTTCCATGGCAAGAAGAATGGGCCTCAACCGAGATGGGACGCACTTCCACCTAAATCCCTGGGAGATTGAGCTGCGTCGACGGCTATGGCACCACCTCGTTCTCCTGGACACCTGGTGCGTTGAAAACCACGGCCTCCAACCACTGCTCCGGCTCGGCGACAGCGACACTTCTCTTCCGCTGAACGAAAATGATTCCGCATGGGATACCTCCGAGTTCTCCTCGTATCAGCCACAACCGCAGAACAACTTCACGGACGCGACCATGGCGCTCATGCACTACGAGTTCGGGTCTCTCACGAAATTCATCCTCGACCACCCGTACACGCCCGCGACGACGACGCGCAGCTACTTGGACCTCCAGAACGAAGTGCTCCGCCAGGCCCACCACCGCATGGACATCCTGTACATGCGCAACCTCGACACGGAGAACAACGTGCTCCACCGCCTGGCGAAGGACCTGTTCGACCACTCCTTCCGCCGCCTCCGCCTGATGCAGCTCCAGCCGATCGTCAACGCGAAGGGGACCATCGTGGCCGACGCCCAGCGCCCGGGTCTCGAGGCCAAGATGTACCAGCTCGCCGTCGAGTACTGCAAGGCCACCCAGACGCTGATCGACTTCTACACGCCCTACAGCCTGGACTGGGCCGTCATCCGCGCTTTCTCGTGGCACTCGGTCGCGACCATGCTCTCGATGGTCCTGCGCCACGAAGCCCTGAGCAATTCGCTCGAAGCCCGCGCAGCGAGGCACCGCATCGAGCTGCTGTTCCAGAACAGGCCCTCGATCGACTATCTCGCCGGCAACGACAATCTGTGGGAGCCGCTGAGGATGCTTCGCGCCGAATTGGCCGTGAGGCAGGCCCTGCCGGTGCGGCCTTCGCGGACGGGGATGGTGCCGCCGGCTGGGAATGAAGCGCGGCAGGGTCAAGGCCAGACTCCGGCACAGCTACAACCACAAGCACAAGCACATGCACACGCACACGCACACGCACACGCAGCGGCGCAGGGGACCCCTGACGTCAGTACAGAGGGTGGTGCTGGTGCTGGTGGTGCTGATTTGGTTTCGATGACCTCCACGAGCATTGATCCCGCATTGTTCGGCTTGGCCACGGGATATGAGGGCGAGGTGATGGGTTCTGAGCAGTGGTGTGATTTCGAAGTCTACATGTGACGAAGAGAGGTCGAAAGGGCCCAGCACGGCTTGGGCAGTCGCGCCTGATCGTACCTAATCGTTGCATGGTGCAAAGGGAGCTTTGACCATCGGCAAAGGTACGCGCGCACTCACTGGCACTTGAGAGTTCAAGTCGCTGGGTCTGATTTGATTTGCACGAAAGTCTTCTGCTGGGTATTACCCCGTTGGTGCTGCGAATCTTATAGAATTACAAGGACTCAAGAGGTTGGAGAGTCTATAATACATGCATTGCGCACTTCTATGATTCATGATTGGCCACAGCGCCGTCTTCCGTCACTATGGGTAGGCAGCTGGTAACTATACATGGTGGTTATACCGTCCCGGCCGAACTGGGCTGCCAATAAGAGTAAACAATGCTCCACATCAGGACACCGCGGGTGTAGATTTTGGAAAGCTCTCCTGCGTCGACGATGCTACGTCATCCTCGAGAGCAGCTCCCTCTGCCTCGGCAAATATGTCGGCGACCGTTTTCTGGTTGACTAGCACGTTGGCCTGTTGGAACGATAATTGTCGGTCGACGAGGACTTCGCGGATGAGTTGCATAGTTGTTTTGATCTGGTGGACGACAAGCTCATTAGCAAAACACCTCTTTTCGACCCGAAGATTGGTGTGTTGAGGGAACAATATGCTGTATTTCATTTTGCGTTGCTCATTCAGAAACCTTCAGGAGGTAAAATCATGGCCAAGGAGGCTTAAGCATTGCCTCCGAGGCCGGGATACTCATATCGGCGAGTGAAAGGGGTTGGGTTCATCATTGGACTTTTCCCTAGCAAAAAATGTGTAGACCAGAAGAGACAGGGGAGACTCACGACATCGACTCTCTCCTGATGTTCCACCTCTCCAAACCCTGCCCGAAGGCGTGTGCGTTCTTTTTCTCGCGTAAGGCTGCGATTCAGCTCCTTCACACATACCCAGTAGAGTTTGTGGAGGTCGTCAAAGGATTTCACGGACAATTCCTTGTACTCCCATGCGCGACCTGCATTGATGCCAGCGAGTTAGTCGCGCGACCATATTGCCGTTCTCGTGTGTCACTCGAACTTACCGTGGCTGGACTCCTGCTCTGGATCCAGCAGTGCCTGCTTGCTCTGATCGAAGAATCCCCAGAGGCCGTGGTCCTGCGCCTCAACATACTCCGGGTTCGTGCCCCGATGATCTCTCGCCACGGGTACCGGTAACGGATAGTTCCATAACCCACGTGTACTTCTCGGTCCTGTCCGGCGGATTGCGCTCACGCCTCTCTTTTTGTTGCGGTCGATCTTGGGCCGCGCCTTCAGCGCCCAATTCGGTTTCCCTGACGTAGCAGCTTTAATGCCGGCTTGTTTCCTTGTTGCGGAAGAACGTTGGTTGGGGGTTGACGTCGAGAATTGTGCTGTTGCAGATATTGAGATGGGAAATGGGCGGGCGAAAGCGGGAGCCAGGAAGAGGGGAACGCTGGTCGAATGCGACGGGGTGAGGAAAGATCTAGTGAGCGACGCCATGATGGCAGCCGGTAAGCTGGCAGAACTGGGTTACCTGGCAATGTATACCTTGAGCTGGCTGTTGCTGCAAGTCGAGGGGTGAATTGAAAGTGAAGCTCGATTGAAACTCCGCATGAAATCCGCGCCAAGCACGTGTTGTACTTTCCCCCTTTTGGAATGATTTGCTTTAGCCCTATTCGGAAATAGTCAACATTGTGATCGATGAACAACTGTGCTTGCGCTTTCGAACTGCAATGACCCTGTCGGAGCCATAGACTAACAAGCAGTATGAAGATCATAGAGTTGGTCATCGATGGGTGAGTCGTGACTCAACAGTCCCAGACGTTACCGTCGACTAATGAACACGTGCAGCTTCAAGTCTTACAGCCAGAGGACGGTCATCTCTGGTTGGGACAAGACCTTCAACGCGGTGACTGGACTCAACGGCTCCGGGAAGTCCAACATTCTCGATTCAATATGTTTCGTGTTGGGTATCACCAACATGTCGACAGTCCGAGCGCAGAATCTCCAAGACCTCATATACAAGCGCGGTCAAGCGGGCGTGACAAAGGCGAGCGTCACGATCGTGTTTGACAATAGCGACAAGAGCACGAGTCCGATCGGCTTCGAAGAGTATGCGCAAATCAGTGTGACGCGACAGATTGTCATGGGCGGCACGAGCAAGTACCTCATCAACGGGCATCGCGCGCAGCAGACGACCGTGCAGAATTTATTCCAAAGCGTCGGATTGAACATCAACAACCCGAACTTCATCATCATGCAAGGTCGAATCACGAAAGTGCTGAACATGAAGGCCGCCGAGATTTTGGCTATGATTGAGGAGGCCGCCGGAACGCGCATGTTTGAGGATAGAAAAGAGAAGGCAGTCAAGACCATGGCGAAGAAGGAGATGAAGGTGGTAGAGATCGAGGGCTTGCTGCGCGAAGAAATCGAACCGAAACTCGACAAGCTGAGAGGCGAGAAGCGGGCGTGGTTGGACTATCAGAAGACACAAAGCGAGCTTGAAAGATTGACTCGAGTGGTTGTCGCGGCAGACTATGTTCGAGCTGGCGAGAAGATGAAGAACGCGTCCCAAGAGCATGAAGCCAAAAGAGCGAAAGTGACGCACCTCGAGGAGAATGCTATCAAACTGAAGCGCGAGATCGAAAACCTGGACGAAGATTCTCAGCGTGTACGAGCTGTTCGGGAGAAGGAAATGCGCAAAGGTGGCCGATTCCAAGCAATTGAAGCCCAAGTGAAAGAATTGAGCCATGAGCTGGTCCGACTTGCAACAGTGCTTGATCTGAAGCAATCCAGCGTTGCTGAAGAAGAGCAGAAGAAGAAGGATGTCACCAAAAATGTCAAAAGTCTGGAAAAGCAAGTCAGCGATAAGAAAGCCGGTCTGGAGAAGTTGCAGTCACAATGGAACAGTGCGAAAGCTGAACATGATTCTCAAAACTCAGAAGTCGAGAAGAAAGAAGAGCTGCTGTCGACGTTGCAGACTGGAGTTGCTTCTCGCGAAGGACAGGAAAGTGGCTACCAAGGTCAACTGCAGGAAGCCCGAGCGAGACTGACCGCGGCCACGACGGAGCAAGAACAAGCGAAGCTGAAGATCTCTCACCTCGAAAAGCGCATAAAGGAAGACGAACCACGCGCAAAGAAGGCGCGAGAACAAAACGCCGATCTCCTGAAGGACCTGGAAGTACTCCGCAAGGATGCACAGAAGCTGGAGAACAATCTGCAAAGATTGGGGTTTGAGCCTGGCAGAGAAGAGAAAATGCGAGAGCATGAGGTCACCCTTCAGAAGAGCATCCGCGAGCTGTCACGACAAGCCGACGAGATGAAGCGAAAAGTAGCCAACGTCGACTTCCACTTCAGCGACCCTTCACCCAACTTTGACCGGACAAGAGTCAAAGGTCTAGTTGCGCAGTTGTTCACTCTGGACAAGGACAAGTCAATGGCTGGCACTGCGCTGGAGATTTGCGCAGGTGGCCGGCTCTATAACGTCGTCGTTGACACGGCTGAGACTGGCACCCAGCTTCTCCAGAATGGCAAGCTCAAGAAGCGAGTCACCATTATTCCGTTGAACAAGATATCCGCCTTCCGAGCGTCAGCAGAGAAGGTTGGAGCAGCACAACGGATAGCACCGGGCAAAGTTGACCTCGCGCTGTCCTTGATTGGATACGAAGACGAGGTTTCTGCCGCCATGGACTACGTCTTTGGCACAACGCTGATCTGCCAGGACGCCGAAACAGCCAAGAAAGTGACCTTTGACCCGTCAGTCAGACTGAAGAGCGTTACACTTGAAGGTGACGTGTATGACCCTTCAGGGACGCTGTCCGGTGGCAGCTCACCAAACTCCAGTGGCGTGCTCGTGATCCTTCAGAAGCTGAATGAAGTGACGAAAGAACTACAAAAACACCAGTCAGAGCTTCAACAGGTGCAAGAGACGATGAGACAGGAGCGAGCGAAGCTGGCTGATATCAAATCCGTCAAGCAGGAGCTCGATCTCAAGACACATGAAATCAAGCTGGCAGAGGAGCAGATCTCGGGCAACTCTTCATCGTCCATCATTCAGGCGATAGAGGAAATGAAGGCAACAATTGTCCAGCTCAAGCAAGACATGGCCAATGCGAAGACTCGAGAAGTCGAGGCATCGAAGGACGTCAAGCGGATCGAGAAAGACATGGAAGACTTCAGCAAGAACAAAGACAGCAAACTGAAAGAGCTGGAGAAGTCGATAGCCGAGTTGAAGAAGTCGCTGACCAAGACCTCCACTGCCATCAAATCACTCCAGAAAGAATTGCAGGACGCTAAGATCGACTGCGAGCAAGCCGAGAGTGATTTGAACGCCGCAGTGGAACAGCTTGCCGAGGTCAACGCCACGATCGAGACACAAAAGGCAGAACTCGAGGCCTTGCGACAAGAAGAAGCAAGCGTCAAAAGCAACCACGATATGGCCCAAGGTGAACTCGTTGACGAGCAAGCGAAACTGACAGGGTTTGACGACGAGCTGCGCGAACTGGAACAAGCCAAATCCAAGAAGTCGAAACAAATCGCCGAAGAGGCACTCGAGGCACAGAAACTGGGCCACGCTGTGGACAAGGCACAGAAGGACGCCCAAGCAGCAGCGCAGCTGGTCGCGGCGCTCGAAAAGGAACACGACTGGATCGACGACAACAAAGATCAATTCGGCCGGGCGGGCACCCCGTACGACTTCCACGGCAAGAACCTTGCGGAAAGTCGGGCCACGCTCAAGAACGTGACGGAGCGATTCCAAGGCATGAAGAAGAAGATCAACCCGAAAGTGATGCCCATGATCGATAGTGTCGAGAAGAAAGAGGCGTCACTGAAGAACATGCTGCGCACGGTGATCCGCGACAAGAAAAAGATCGAAGAGACCATCAGCACGTTGGACGAGTATAAGAAGGAGGCGCTGATCAAGACGTGGCGCAAGGTCACCGAGGACTTTGGCAACATCTTCTCGGACCTGCTGCCGGGGAACAACACGGCGAAGCTGGTGCCGCTGGACGACAACCTCGAGCGGATCCAGGAAGGGTTGGAGGTCAAGGTCTGCCTAGGGAAGGTGTGGAAGCAGAGTTTGGCCGAGTTGAGCGGTGGGCAAAGGTCTGTTTGTTTATTCCCCCCAGTTCCTTTGCTGCTATCTCTGAACGACGGTGCTGACTGGTGACCCTTGTCTCGCAGATCGCTCATTGCTCTGTCCCTCATTCTCGCCCTGCTGCAGTTTAAGCCGGCGCCCATGTACATTCTGGATGAAGTCGACGCGGCGCTCGATCTGTCGCATACCCAGAACATTGGCCGCATCATCAAGACTCGATTCCAAGGTTCGCAGTTCATCGTCGTCAGTTTGAAGGATGGCATGTTTCAGAATGCCAACCGAGTATTCCGGACGAGGTTTAGTGAAGGCACGAGTGTCGTGTCTGTCATGACGCCTGGGGAGTTGAAAGGGTGATGAGTGGTCTCGGCTGAGGGAGTCCCTGTATAGTATATGGGCGTTTTCATGATTGTACGGAGTATGTCTGCCAGCTCGAATGAGTTTACGACTTGATGATACGGGTGTCTGCGTTGAAGCCGGCATTGGCGTGCTTGGGACGTGGTGGTGGCATTGCGTCGTCCATAGTGATGGCATGCGTCGTCAATAGCACGGGCCCATACTCCCACCCTTGAGGACTCACGTTCTCACTCATCTGATGCTCAACTCGAGCCCAAACTCTCCACAACCTCCTCCACAACGGCCCTCACGCCTTGAATGTCATGCGCAAACCGTCCCAGGAACAACCCATCAACCCACCTCCCCAGCCCATTCCCACCATTCGTCTTGCCACTCCACAACCCCGGTCCCGCACTCCCCCCATACACGACCTTCACCTCGCCCGTCCTTTCCCCGCCACGAAGCGGGACGGCCGATTTGGCGACCTCCCGAATGGCCTGCACGACGGGCCCGACATAATCCACGCCAGCAGGTTCGGCGGCGCCGATGGCCCACACGGGCTCGTACGCGAAAATCACGGGCGCGTCCTCGGGCACGGCGCCCAGGACGGCCAAGATCTGCGGCCTCAGCTGGGCCATGGCGTTGCCGACACTCGCGCTCAGCGGGCCGCGCAGATCAGGCTGCTCGACCTCGCCTATGCACACCAGGGGCACCATGGCGAGGTCGCTGACGGTGCGGGCCTTTTCGGCGGCGCTGTCGTCGTTTTCGCCCAGGTAGCGACGGCGTTCGGCGTGGTTGAGCTCGACGACGCGCACGCCGAGCGATTTGAGCGCCACGGGGACGATCTCGCCCGTGTAGGCGCCGTACGAGGGCGAGGGATAGGCGTTTTGGGCGCCGAGGGAGATGGGCCACGACGCGAGCGGGCCAGCGGCGGCATTCCCGTTGGGATCGGATGGCGAGGGGTATCTGGATCCTAGGATTTGAGAACACGGGTAGATGGTGAGGAAGTCGGGGATGAACACGAAGTGGACTTGACTGCTGTGTTTCTCGAGGAGAGGGAGGATGTTGTTTGCCGGCTCGAGCAGTGAGTGTAGGTATGTGATTGTGCGGGTGGGGGAGAAGTAGGCTTTTGTCGACGTGAGGATCAGTTTGGAAGGGAGCGACGGGTATGTGGTTTGTGAAGACATTGTGAGGCGCCGAGTATGGAATGGAGTACAGTGGTCAGATTATGGTGTCTTCGCTGAAGTGGGCGTGGATGTGCTACAAGTCGGAGGTACGGAGTGCTATGGTAGGCTTGACTTCAACTTCAGACTCAAGTTTGATAGAGAACCGTGAGTACGGAGTCCTGTATGCAGTCAGTCCTTGCCGAACAAGACCCGCCTGGAGCGCCAGCACGTGGTTATAGGCGCACTCAGCCCCTGCCCCACGTTGTCCGCCGTGCCCGTGTGCAATTGATCCGCCCGGATGTCCCGAAAGGGCAACCCCGGTGTACGAGGTAGCGCGCAAATTTGGAGAAGCCTGAACACAGCAATGACGCACAACGCGAGGGGTGAGAGGCACCTACAGAACTCGGAAGTGGAAGTGGCAATGCCGCAATGCCACAGCGAGAGGACACCCTTCCGGTCGGCATCCACGGCCACCACGCCGTTGCCCGAGACCATAGATCAGATCCACTACTGGGGTAGAACATTTGATCTCATTCAACAAAAAGTCAGGTCAGGATGTGATGTGATTTATATTTTAGTTCCTGCGCTGTGCTTGGCCGACCTTAGCTACTCTGTATACTCACATAATATACCCAGTCCTGGAATTAACCACCTCGACGGGAACAACATACGCCATACTCCTACCCATATACACACCCATACCATACCGAGTACCGAGTACCGAGTACTGCGTACCTAACTACTGAGCCCGGCAAAGTCCTCTCACACACGCCACGCATTCATTCCCTTGCACTCATTCCACGACCCGCACAGCACCACCACCACCGACACCATGACCACAACCACGAACGGGACCAAAACCCCCCTCCGCATCGTCGTGGGCAGCGACAACGCCGGCCACGCCTACAAAACGGCCCTCAAGGACGTGCTGCACAAACACACGGGCGTGACGCAGGTGCTCGACGTGGGCGTGGTCGACGCCGACGACGCCACCGCGTACCCCCACCTCGCCGTGGACGCGTGCAAGAAGATCAAGTCCGGCGAGGCCGACCGCGCGCTGCTCATCTGCGGCACCGGCTTGGGCGTGGCCATCTCGGCCAACAAGGTCGAGGGCATCCGCGCCGTGACGGCGCATGATCCCTACAGCGTCGAGAGGGCCGTGCTGTCCAACAATGCCCAGGTCTTGTGTTTCGGCCAGCGCGTCATCGGCTTGGAGCTGGCCAAGAAGTTGGTCGACGAGTGGGTCGAGTTGAGGTTTGACGAGACCAGCGCGAGTGCTGAGAAGGTGGCGCATATTTCAAAGTACGAGGAGCAGTTTGGGGAGTTGTGATGTGGACGAAAGAGAGAGAGCAAGACGCAAGACGCAAGACATGGGTTGACATTGTGCCCTTCGACACAGCGACCGAGATATAGTTTGATATTATGCATCATTGACGTGGCGTCTGCACGAAAAGTCAGGGATATGGAATGCCATCTTCCCGTCTGTGGCAGGCTGTCCGACCATCGCCAGCCTTTCATTGCCGCCTACGCGAGTCCGCTCACTATACTTCGCTCACAACATCCACTCGATGCGCTCTCCACAGACCAAGTGCATACGCTCCTATTTCCAAATCATGCCAAAGAGTTTACCGACGCTCCCGTGTGACCGCTCGCGCCCCTACCCAACTCGTATCCCTCCTCATGCCTTGCTTTTCGTGCTCTCGTAAACACCAATCCCATGCATCCAACAACCCCGGAAATGTGACCCCTGTCGCTTCACTACCCGCCAATACCTTGGATGCCTTGGACACAATGGACTGCTTGGTAAATGCTCTGGAATGGTCAAGTCGAACATCTCAGGCTCCACCTCCTTCCCCTCGTACATGATCCTGGTCCGATTCCTCGATAGCACGTCCGGGGAGTTCAATCGCCGGCTCCCTTCTTGGGCACTTTGCATGTCATCTTGCCTGGTCTCGGTCCCCAGCAGATCGATCTCGGCAAGTTTGACGTCTGCCCACTCACTAGTCAGGATGCGCTTATTCTTTGTTCTCGATCTCTCAAGTTTGGGCCTCCCCTCTGGTATCAGCTTATGTCGTTCCAAGTCGGCCGACATGACGCTGTCTGGACTGCCACTGCCGCTGTTGGCTACGTCTTCCACAACAATTTCAGGGGCCTGCAAGCTACTAGTTCGTCTCGGTGCGTTGTAGTCGAAGAAAAAGCCTTTCCAGCGGCCGTCTGCACCTTCTTCGGGAAGGGGTGGAGTGTGGATGCGACGCGCCTCGCTTGGGAGGTAGTTCGTGCCTCCTCTGACACTGATATCAACCTTCAGAAACTCCTCCGTCTCTGCGCTCGGACTCCGTTTGATCTTGTATGTGGCTTTTTCGTCGGGGGTATTTGTGGGCATGGTACCCATGCGAAGGTATCTCTGACTCGAAGTATACGATTGAACGTCCGACCCATGATCACCACTGCCACTGTTATGGTTGTTGTTGCTGCTGTGGTCCAGCGATGACACGAGTCCGTGTGCGTTGCGTTGGCCCTTCTTCGCTTTTGGGGGAATTGATTTGTCTGAGAAGGTTTTCCAGGTCAGTGGCCGGGCAATCTGCGGTGGGAAGAGCGTGGCTGGTGTTGTCGTTTTGGTCTCCTGCAAAGTCGCACTCACGCGTTGCAGGACGTCTGATGTGTAATTCCGCTTGAGCTGCGTGGTATGGTCTGCCAAACGAGTGTTTCTTGTTGTGGAAGACGGTGGGGATCTCTGGGCCACAGCTGGTGAGCTCGTGCGTTTGGACAGGCTGACCCGGCGCAGAAGTTGCAATGGCGCTGAGAAGATCTGTTTAGGATTGATTGAGCTTCTGCGGGACCTTGACTGACGCCGATCATGGTCGGGAGAACGAGTCTTCTGGTCTGGAGGCTGAGCTTCTTCGCTGATCCCTGGCTGGGAAGGCTGAACCCCATGGGTTATTCCTGGCGGCTTTCCAGACTCCGTGAATTCCGTCTCGACCTTTATGGAACTGGCTTTGGACACCTTTGAGACCGGCGCACTTTTCGATGGCGGTGGTCTCATTGGAGCCTGATCTGTACGGACAACAATGATATTGCCATCTCTTGTAATACTCTCAGATAGCGTCGAGGACCGTCGCTGTGCGACCTCGTTGGCAGCATTCCATTTGCCCGCTCTGGAGGTCAATGAAGACGATGTTGCCCGGAGCTGGCTGACTTTCGACTGGCGTGGAGGATATCTGAGATTTTCCCTCGGCGAAGGCGATCGAACCACGGCGGAGCTGCGTCCAGAGGATCCAGATGTCTGCAAAGAGGCACGGCGGAGAGACTGCTCAAAGGACCGACCCCGCGTGATCTTCGCCGAGGGGATTTCTTGAGATGGTGTCGAACTCCGGCCAGGTGAAGTCAGCGTCTCGAGGGATTGGGTCTCTGCGATGATGTGGCCATGGATTCTCCTGTGCAGAGCCTCATAATCAGAATGGAAGCGGAAGTGAGGACGTCGGACAGGAGGCAGCTGGGGCTGAGAGCCAGGACTAATGTCGGGCGGCGAGGCAGGTGACCGGGTCGCAGGGGAGCCATCACGTTTGGGTGAAATGTCGAAGTATGAAGTGACGCCTTTGCCGAAAGACTCAGTGTCCTCGCTTGGTGCGGTCTCGATGATATACAGAGGTGCGGATGCGCTTGGTGAATGTGCCATGGCTGAGACGATAGACTCCAGTAGATTCGATGCCGGTGTGGTGCTTGCTAGCAGATACAAGGCCGGGTCAGCCTGCTATGTCTACAACAAAGACGGTATGTCACAATACGTGACTTCGCTGTGGCAGCCAAACGATGTGGAGGAGAATGTGAAGCTGGACTGAATGCTGAGATTGAAGCGTCAAAGGCGGCAGTGGGCATCGCGCTGCCTTTGAGGCAAGTGCTCTTCACTTCACCGTCGGTGGGCAGGCACGTACGCACAGCCCAGTGAAGCCCCCGACCTAGTCGTTGTCCAGCGCCATCTTCTTGATATCTTCCTCCACCGACAGCAAGCCAAGTGCCCAGTGTACTCGAGTGGAGCTTGATCGGTCGATGAGGCTGCGGTCGTGATTGACGAATTCAGATTCGTGTTGGTCAGCGACGGCATCCGAATGCTGTCCGCTCTGAGGCGACGAGTTGTCTGATCGAGTTGTTATACCGCTCACCCGGGAGTCTTTGTTGCGGACATCTCGCCTTCGTTCGTACGGAGGGCCCCTTCCAGCTTGCGCCATGCGTTCCCAGGCAGTCTCACACCCTGCGGCAATGGCACCCGACGTGCGCCATCCGCAGCGCCGTTCGACGTCCTTGAGCTTGCTGATGGTCCAGCCTCGCTGCGCCGCGTCCGTATACTGGATCCCCGCAAAGAGGAGGAAGAAGGTACTCTCCATCAACGCACCAGCAAAGCTGGGATCCAGAGCACCAGTCTGGCCGTATTGCTGCGTTGCGTAGAGCCCGGCACATATCTTGCCCACGGTCTGCGCGTAATCGTGGGTGAGGTGTGCGGTTACACCAGCCGCAACCATCGCGGCTGGCGGCATCTCAGGGTGTAGCCGTTGCAGTGAGATACGGGCCACATAATAGCACGCCCACATGCACGCAATCGCCGCGTTCTTGTACACCAGTGCAGGCCCAAAAGGTGACGAGATGGGGTTTCCGCTGTCGTTCAGCGCTTCAAAATCAGGACCAAGTGATTGTGCGAAGAGATCAAAGGCTCTCGTGATTTCTTCATATTCGGCCATGGCTCTTGCAGTGTCATCCTCGAGATTCGTGGGCGGGCTGGATTCTTTGTGCTCGCGCACGACAGCAAACGCGGGATCCTTGATGCTTGCGTCCATCGAGTGGAAGGCGGAATCCAGCTGTGGAGGCTCCGACGGTGGTGGCATCATTCCGAGCATGGGAGGACTGGCGCCTTGCTGGGGTCCTGGCACCGTCCCGCCGGGTGCGCCTGGTCTGCTTTGCCTGGCTCTACCCTCATTCGCACTTGGAGGAGTGGGTCTTGGTCCATCCTGAGCTCCTCCTGGTTTGGCGGATGCAGGAGCCTGGCCAGCGGATGAAACTGGAGACGGCTTGGAGGAGCCCGGGGCCCCATGCCCGCCCGGTGGTATGGGTGGCCTCTGCGGCCCAAAAAGCCAGGGTGGCGGTCTCCATTGCCCGCCTTGAGCAGCTACCGCTTTCTGCTTCCGTCTCCGGTCTTTGCCTCCAAAATCACACAGGCGTGCCATGACAAGCAGCAAGTGGTCGAATGTGGCATATGGGGCATCGGCGCGCCCAAATTGACCTCTGGGCGGACAGTACCTCCAATTCTCGAGAGCCATTAGTGGTGGATCACCGGAGACCATGCTCTGAAAGACATCCTGCTTGCAATACCACCATCTCAAACTCATCTTCGTCTTCAATTCTTCCACATCTTTCTCGCTGAGAGTTGATGTGGTCGCTCGCAAGCTAAAGTTCGGTTGATATTGATGGTCATAGTCCACGCGCACGCCTAGCAGCCGAGAAATCAGTGCCTGATCGACCTCCCAGTCAGCATCGTCGAGGAGGGCAAGCGGGATCCCCGCCACGCGAGCATAATTCTCCTCCGTCAAGGCAAATTGAGCTGTCCACTGGCTCAGCCTCGCCTTTGCGCCGTGGCGCATCCGCCTTGCTGTTCGGGTCAAACCAGCATAGTCATGCTCCAACACCAGCCTGGCAGCGCCTGATAAGTGAAGATTCCACCGCGAGTGGTCACCAGCCACGACTTCGTAATACCCAAGAAGCATAACCGTCGCGAGCGTCCGAATTTCGTGGCGTCGCTGAGGAAGGCCCAAGAGCCTCCCGACTCGCCGGACAGCGTACGTAAAATGCTTGATCGCAGGATTCTCTGAGGTGTTGTTCAACTTTGCAAGATGCAACGCTCCGAGAGCCAGCATCGCGTGCGCGAGTGCTGCATGGCCCAACGCTAGGGCAGGGATCGTAAAATTCCAGAGTGTCCGGGCTGGCGCAGCGATCGGACTAAAATGGTGTCTCTCGAAGATCGACATGGTGTTGCTGGTTATTTCGACAAAATGGCAGAAAATTTGCTCGTTCCTCTCATCTCGGAGCGGTGACTTAGTTATTGGTAATCCATATGTTGCGACCGCCTTATACTCGGTTCGGCGGGGAATATACAGTTTGGCAGCTTGGAAATCGGCTTGGCCGGATCGACCAAGTATATCCGTGAGATTGTTCGCAGCATCATAATATGACAGATCCGGGTCTTCCATGTCCACGTCGAACGGATCGTCGGGGTCTTCATACTCCTCGTCATGATGATGGGATCCGGCAGCAGCCACCGTGGCTAGGCCGGAGGCCATAACAGGAGCGTAACTTAGATGTTGTAGGCCACCATGCGCACCATACTGTCCACTCGCATGTTCTAAGAAGAGCTTAGCACACATAGGTACCAGTCAGTGTCGCCGGATTTGGCCACATACCCTCTACAAGAATAGGTGGTATGCCGTATGGTTGTGACAACGATGCCGCTCTTTGTTGATGCTGAGCGGTATTCGGATGCTCTGTCGGATAGAAGTGGCTGCTGGAAGAAAATGCCGACACTGGTGTCTGCATTGTGGCTGACTGAGGGTATCCAGCAGAATACATGGGTTGAGCTGGCATTTGCGGATCAAAGGGAAGGAAAGCTTGAGCGTCCTCAGCCAAGGTACCCGATAGATCGAAACTCGGTGCGTATTGGTCTAATGAATTGAACGCTTCGGGACCGGGCTGGCTCAGGAGTGGTTGACGGCCCTGCCATCGCTGGTTACCGTGGTCTTGTGCTCTACCCGGAGGGTGAGGGGCATTTTGTGGCAGGTGAGATATAGCATGATAACTGGCACTGAATGGCAACTGCTGGTATGGTGAAGGGCCATCAGCCTGAGTGAAAACATTGTGCGATCCCGAGTATGGCTGCTCGGTCTGCCAGCGTAGATTTATCGTAGGGGTCGTCTCTTGTTCTTGAAGAGAGAGCTGATCACCGCTATTCGGATCTTTACGTCCTTTGTTGTTGTAGACGAGCGGTTGGACATAGCCGGCACAGTCGCGCTTCGACTTGACACAATTCTTGCAAAACTAATCGAGGTCAGAAGAGACGCGCAGTCAACCAGTGGTCAGATGTCGTGTGGTGCTTACTGGCTTTTCCTCTCCGCATTTGATCCTGCACAAGGTTGTTAGATCAAGGTGACGATTGTGCAAAGCCCGACGGATCTCTGGAACCCAGGGAGGACTTACCGTCGCTTGCGGCACGCTGGCACGAAAACATATCAGCATCTCATACCAAAGAAGCGATAATCAACAACAGCGTCGACCTGCAGACTTACTCAAACAGCCAGTTTTGGTGCGCCTCTTCGCGGCTTGTTTGCGAGTGGCGTCGGGTACCGCCGCTGGTGCAGATTCATCTTCTGACTTGATGCTCGGATCTTTGACCTCGACAGATTCCTCGTCCTCTCGTTTAGGCGACATGGGGCGTGGATTTGCTGAACTTCGGACGCTGTTGTCGATGTCTCAAGCGATGCGGACGAGCTGGAAGTCGCAAAGCCGAAATCGGTGTTGGACGGCTTGATAAGAGAATCCGGGCTGCACCAGAATTGCTAGCCAATTTGTTTGGCCTGGAGGATCCCGAGGGACAGGATAGGAACTGTGGGGAGATCCTCCTGGCCAAAGGTCGTGATGGCTGCGCTAAGTCTGGATGTCGGCATTACGTTCCACATCCACTGCTATTGCGGGTGATTTCTGTTCCAGAGAGCATGCGCTCGGCACTGCTCATATCAACGTCGGATGTGATTTGAGGCAACGGGCAAAAAGCGTGGTGGATCCGGAAAATTTTGCCCCAGGATACAGAGTTCGGCCGATGTGGCTGGCTTCTCCAGAACAACGTCGACGGCGTCAAACGGGCTCAAAGTACCGGTATCACCCTTTCCACAGCCAGCGCATGCAGAGTGACAGCCAGGTCCCAATTGATTGGCCCGTTCGTTGTTGAAGACAGAAGGCCCTCAAGGCTGGTACCACGGGCACCCGGGGAACGAACCCCTGTAAGCCGCAGCAAATGTTGAGCTGTATTGATTTTAGTGACAGCAAAGTCTACTGTAACAGCAGGCCTGGGGACCTCGCAGGAGGCAGCACTGGGTACTAGTGAATGGTCACAGAAGGATGCAGGGATGTGTTGACAGCAGATCCAAGCTTCATACCCGATCGAGAATGCCTGGTACTCGTACGAATAGAAAAGCAAGTCAAGAGGGGCTTAAGAGGGGCCTGTAAGGCTGAGTCCGTGTCAAGGCATCAGCAGATGCGCCTTAGCCCTCTATTCCAGAGCAGGACAATGTGGAGACGGTTTGGAGCATGAGAATTGCTGGCTCGACATGGGCGTACTTGGCTTGTTTCCCAATCTGGGGGTTGCTTTCTTGAACCAACGTCGAGCTAATCTTTCGGGGACAAGGGGAATGACTGGTCATTGGCGAAACTGGGCCAGCTGAGGGTGGCACTCTGGCGGGTATATCATCCATTCCTCCGGTACAAGATGATACGAGACACAGTACGAATACTCGATCCCTTCAGCTTGGTCGGGGTACTGTGCAACGTGCATCTTGCATCATCCTGTGGTGGGGACCCTCGATCGGCTGGCTGGAGATTGCCGTCTTGGTATTGCTCAACGTCAAGATGGGCGTCGAATGTTACAGTGCGCCAGGCCAGGTCACATTGAAACCTCGTCGACATGCAACGGCTGAAGATCGATGGCAACTGTCACCCAGCTGTGACACGATCCGCGCCTGTCCTTAACCGTTAGCCTCGATCATCTATGGCCACCATGTTGATAGACGACAGGATCGTCCTGCATGTATGATAACTCATCCAGCTATGCTCAAATCATTAGCTCCACTTGCACGCAGAGGATGGTCTTCCTGTGCCAAAGCATGGACCGGGAAACTATTGAAGTTTTGGGCTGCTGCCTATGGTCTGTGATTTGCGATGAAGCCGAAAATCACGATCGTGTGACGCAACTACAGCAACAGCCTGCAGAAGCTGGTGTGACAACGATGTCCCCCGTTCGCCTTTGCGGGCACTAGGCCGGGTTTATTGGGTAGGCGTTGAAACATATGGCCCTTTCCGGACGGAATGGTCGTGTCAATCGCTGATCTGCTGCCGGACGCAGACTTGAGGCTGCAAAGACGTTGGGGGTGCCCGCCGAGAGAGTCTGGTCCCCGAGGTCGCCGCGTTGAAACCGGAAAACTTAAAACGATGGCAGATGAGCTTGATTCGAGCCCAAGAGTTAGAGGGGTGCTTCCTGAAGGGATCGATAGAGGGTCCTATATTTGCAACTCGTATCTGCTGGGCCCGTGGTGGAGGAAGCGAGCGTGCGAGATTGCCGCATCATTCGCCGTCTGTAGAGCTATAGCCTGGATGAGGTTAGTGATCGCTGCACAATCCGGTTGGCTACCAAGACAGTTGATATCTCCCTGGGTCCGGGGGCGGATCTCCTGCATGCCGCGAGGCTTCTAACTGACAGTGCAGATGCGTGGCTGGATGCATGGAGTTGCTGTCGATTGCGGCCGGTCTGTCTGACTGCATGGCTGGAGATACAACGGTATTGGACAACGAGGAGTGACCGAAAGACCTTGATGTGCTGGGATGAGACGTACAGGATGTATCTCTGTCAGGGTCATCTTCTTTGCCAGACGCCAATTAGGCTATGAGCGCAGATGCTGTACGGAGCCCCAGGAGTACCCGTACTCGTATGGTGCTGTGGACTCTGTGTCGTAGCTGCGAACCTGATCGCCGTGGCTTCGGGGCGTCAAAGTCTCCCCCACGTTTACGCCCAGGCGGTGATTAGGCTTGGACCTCTGAGCGCTGTTCCGGAGTTAGCGCTCCCAAGGCCAATCGCAACCAAACAGCGCCGGCTGTTTGGCCCCCGTGGCCCCGCCCCTGCTGCAGCTGCGGCTCTTGCATCCCCGGAAAGCCGCCACGAAAATTTTATTGTACCGTGTAATGCCATGCCGTGCATTGCACCTCGCAGCACCTGCGGCCAGGCGTTCTTTCTGTGAAGAGCGATTCCAGTCTGCCCTGCGTTATCTACGTGCAATTTTGGCCCTGGCACCATCTGAGACCTGCATGGCCCTTACAAGAATCTAATGCCAGGTTGAGACTGCCCTCCCCTTCCGCGGAGACCTCAACCATGTTTTCTGTTCCAGGTTGGTCAGTCGATTCGACCTCACTTGTTCAGGAAAAGCCTGCAGCCAAAAGCGCCAGTCAGGCATCTTCCGGAGCGTCGGGTTCCACCTCGAGCAAGAGGAAGAGTACCCTTGCCCATAGCGACCAGGCGTCCAAAGTCTCAGGGAGTGAGCTCGAGAGACTGTGGAACGAGCAGGCCGACGCCAACCCTGCAAGGTCAAAGAAGAAAAAGGCGCAAGAAGAAGAAGAAACCAATCACAAAAGGCGGGAGACAGGGAAGCGGGACGTGCAGCAATTGAAGCAACACAAGACCGGGGATGACGAGGCCGCAGCAACACAGGAAAAAAAGCGCAGCAAGAACAAGGACAAGCACAGGGAGGATGAACGGGACATATCCAAAAACAAGCAACAGTCGGCGCAGAAGAAAGGAGACCGCACATCGAAAGCAACTCACCCGGGACTGAGCAATGGCGACGCCGAAACCATCTCTTCTGCCCGGGACCAGGTTCTCAAGACTCTCCCACCAGCACCGCCGCCGCCTGCGAAGTTGACGGCGCTACAGGCCAAAATGCGCAGCAAGCTCACATCGGCGCGGTTCCGTCACTTGAATGAGACGCTCTACACAACCTCGTCGGCAGCAGCCTTGGACCTCTTTACGAACTCACCAGACTTGTTCGCCGAGTACCACGCCGGCTTCTCTCAACAAGTCAAGGACTCCTGGCCCGTCAACCCGGTGGAAAAGTACATAGCCTCCATCAGGCATCGAGGACAACTACAAACCTCCGATAGAGACACGAAACAGCGTCCCCTACGAGAATCTCCGCTTCCTCGCCGCCCCAAGACCTCTCTCTGCACAATTGCCGACCTGGGCTGCGGCGACGCGCCCCTTGCTCGCGGCTGCCAATCGGTGATCAAATCTCACAAGCTCAAGTTCCACAATTTCGACCTGCACGCGCCCAGCACCCTGGTCACGAAAGCCGACATATCGAATTTGCCTCTCCGCGACGGCGAGGTGGATATAGCGGTCTTCTGTCTCAGCTTGATGGGCACGAATTGGATCAGCTTCGTGGAAGAGGCCTGGCGAATACTCCGGGGTGACGGCAAGGGAGAGTGCTGGGTCAGTGAGGTGAAGAGTCGGTTTGGAAGGGTAGGCAGACAGAAGGGCGAAGCGGTTGACAACAGCGTGGGGAAGAGGAGGAAGCAGCAGAAGCCGAATAAGAGGGGTGCGGACGACGAAGATGCTGCTGCTGCTCTCGGGGAGGAGATCTATGCCGAGGATGCCACGGAAAAGGTTGCTGGCGACGAGACCGACATCTCGGCCTTTGTCAAGGTCTTTACACGCCGCGGCTTCCAGCTGCGCGAGGACAGCGTGGACAAGTCGAACAAGATGTTCGTGAGCATGGCCTTCACAAAATCCGGCATCCCCACGGCAGGGAAACACAAGGGTCTCAAGTGGACCGGGAGAGAGTATCAAAGGGTCGAGCAGGGCAAGACCAACAAACGGGGTCCTGAAGATGATGTGACGCCACAAGAAGAGGCAAAGGTGTTGAAGCCTTGCGTTTACAAGACGAGGTGATCAGCGAGAAGGCATCTAAGATTCCTTTCCTCGCCAATCAATGTTTTTTCTCCAAATGAGACACGAGACACAGAATTAGGTAGGTACCGAAGGGTAGGCCCTCCTTAGCCCCGTGTGAGGGAGAAGCACTTCTCTCAGAAGTGCCATCTAGTTCATTACGATGGCTCATCCCGCGAACTTCGTCTTCTCATGGGTATTGATGGGTTCTACTGTTCAACAACGGAAGCGGACCTCCACCGTAAACCGTCTGGGCTTGATATCGCCTCGACAGCTGCATTGCCGTCAATGTTGTATATTCTAGGCTGCAAATGAGAAAGCCAAGCAGCCTCGTAGGGTCTGAGAGGTGGGAACCCTTCTACCCTGCTGTCCACAATTCTATATGATTCCTTCCAGCATTTTGGCATGAACGTTCAAAGTCCTTCCTATCGTGGTGACAACGTCGAAGACATGGTTGTCCGAGAACACCTCTGCCCACAAGCGCGCTACAGCGACTCTCAAGCCCGAAATTTGGCGTTGCCATGCGGTCGCGTCGTCCTTGGGTGAAGGGGGCGTGGGCATTGCCATCTCTTGCAGTATCCAGTGGTCGAGATCCATGCCGAAGATGCGGGCGTCGCTCACGAGATCCTCATTCGCACCGGCATTGGTGGTGGTGGTGCTACTGCCCGTGCTGGCCTGGGTGGCTGCGTTGAGATTGCCGTTCAGGGTTCTGTCAGTACCGTCGGGGTTGGTGTTGGTGTTGGTACCCTGTCGCGTCTCTGCGCTCAGAGACAGGGTGTCGAGATCACCTTCGGTGAAGAAACCGGACTCGAGCACCATGCCGCGGAGAATCAGCACGAGATTTTTCTCCTGTTTCGACATGGGAGTCTGTGCAAGCGTGGAGGCCAGAGTCTCAAACCACTTGCTGAGAATGACGGCACATTCAAGGGCGCACAGCGATTGGTTGACACTCCAAAACAGTGACTGACTTCGGGCAACGAACTTGATCCCTAGCCGAACGGGGACACTGAGGGCATGAATGGCTTGCAGCAGAACCGGGGTGAGTTGCGGGTGGCGTGGCAGTGAAGGTCCCGAAGTGAAGACACGTGCAATCAAGCTCGGATCTCGAGTTGCGAGGGCTCGACATGGTCCCAGGTCAGCATATAAACGGATCCAGGCAAGCCGTAAGCAGGCAATGGCGTTGAAGGAGATGGGCCCGGCGGATGCTTCTGGCTCGATGGTCGATTCTGGACATTTCTCCCACATCCGCTGCCAACGGTGGAGTGCACGAATGATGCTGTCGATGTCTTCGCCGCGTAGGTTGGAGCCGGCAGCAATGTCTGCGCCGCTGGAACATGGCACAGGATGACGTTGTCGCAGAAAGTAGATGCACTGCAGGAGGCCGAAGATGAGTGCATAGTTGCCAAGTGCCGAGATCGAAGGACTATCGTCTGCATTGGCGACCGCATCCCCAACTTCATGCTGGAACAGCTTATGGAATGCGTCTTGGAACGGAATGGCGGTGATTCGTGATGCACGTCTAATTTCCTCCCACCGCTGTGCGTTAGCCGCTGCCCACTCATCCGCAGAAGCAGGAGTGAGGCAGCGGACTTCGGCCGATGGCAGGGGCGGAGCCATGTTATATGCGAGACTCTGTAGGTTGGTGAAGGTGTAAGTGATTATCTTGACGCGCCGCCAGCTCTCGGTTTCGGTCCAAGCATGCCATCGCTCCACCGCGCTACTACTCCGCTCTATGATGCTTTCGGCTTCCTGGGTAAGGCCTTCTTCGCGCGCAAGCATTACCAGCAGGCTTTGAAGAAGGATGGTCTCACCAAGCAACCCCTTCAGACCCCAGGACCCGAAAGACATCAGCGTCAAAATTGCTTGTATGGTCTGCAAGCGTTGTCTGCTGGCTGTTGATATTGATGTGAGTTGGGAATGATTCCCAATCTGATTGGGACTTGTATCAAAGAGACCATTGGTGGGCGATTGCCGTTCGGAATTGGGTGACTGAAGTGAACTTGCCGCTGTCGTCTCTGCATTGGCAAGACATGGCTGCTTCAAAGTGCTAACCAGACTCTCCTCGTGGCGGTGTTGGAGCCGAGACATGATCAGGGCCTTTGAGGCGTGGAAAAGGGGTACGCCTGTATGGCTTTCGAACCTCAGTTGCGCTCCTGTGGCGCACATTGCCAGTATGAGTTCGAGAGCAGAGTCGGCCACCCTGAATGTGGGCACGTGGAACAGAGGCTGGTGCTTATATAGACTGTTGATACATCGCTCGAGGTAAGCAGACATTGTATGCCGACTTGGGAGGACAAGATCTGTTGGAAACACCTCTGAATACTTGGCCATCTTGGCTTGCAGCTCGATATAGTCTGCCTGCGAAACTTTCCAGCAAGGTCCGGATCCTGTGTCTAGCGTCCCTCGGCCCTCTCGGCCTTGTGACCGTGCTCCCGGTAGTGATCGCAGTGAAGGGAGTGGAGAGCCGATTCGCGAAAAGACATTGATCTCCTGGTTTTCATCACAGTCAACAGCTATTCGGTGCGTGTCGTGCGTTGAAGGCCCTGAGAGGGCTCTTGTGTTCTGTTCACCAGATAAGACGGGCGGTGCTAGCGCAACTTCATGTTCTGATGCCTGATGATGCTGGGGAGGTGGATTCGGGGTTGAAAAATCAAGATGGCCCACAAGGAAGTCCACATTATCAAAGATATTGTCCATCTCGAGGCTCGTTGGATTGAGTTGCGGAAAGCCAGTCTCAGGGTTGTGAAATTGATGGGCGTGAGAATGGTTGTTTGGGTCCACTGGTGCTGTTACACTGATGCCCTCATGGGTATTTGCACTCGTAGTTAACGGCGCTGTTTGCTCCTCACGCACCAGGCCACCGGCCTCTGAAGGATATACAGAACGGCCGGGTTTGGAAAGGTCATGGTCGTTCGTATATCGGAAAGCGGCGTCGTCATGGAGACTCGTGAGCAGCATATCATCATTTAACGGGCCTTGCAGATCACCATCGACTCTGCTGGCTTGCTGGTCAGTGGAAAGCCCGTGTGCCGAAGTGTGCAGCCCTGTAGAGTGCTGCTGATTGCTCAAGGTCAAAGTCGTGTCAACTAGAGCTCCAGAAGGCTGCTGGCCGTGACTAATATCGCCGTTGCCTTGGTGGTGGCTTTGTGCCTGCCACTGTGATGCATCGTGCTGGTGCTGACCAAGCCGTTCGTGCTGTAGTTTTCGGCGTTTCGAGGGCTCAATGTTGTGAGCGGACTTTTGGTGTCTTGTCAGAAGATCGCTGTACAGGTGTCAGAGAGTGTTCACATGAATCCGTCTGCTTTCCGCTAGGAGGTACGTACTGCCTGGGGTAAGCTTGACCACAAGGACATTTATACGGTGTTTCCTTCGTGTGCCTTCGCTCATGACGCTGGACATGGTCCGGACGTTTGAATCTCCGATCGCAATACCGGCATGGAAACCTCAATTGGGTCGCTGTACTCGAAGGATCACTCATTAGGCCTCGAAATCAACACGTACGCAAGAAGGATGTCGAGGCAATCGCGCTTGCACCATTGCTTTCTCTTGCATTGATGAGTATTAGTCGGAAGCAAAGAATCGACACTCCCAGGCTTGAAGGCCCAGATCTGTGGCAACAGCGGTCTAGTGCAAAACTTGCTTACGGCTAACACCCGAGACACAAGTGATCAGCTGTTGACGGGATCATGTAGGCATCTCCCACGGGGAAGGCACAACTAGGTAACCGTGGCTCTCCTCACGCCCCGCGGGGCCACAAGCGTACCTATTAAGGGTCTACAGGCGTGACAGGGTACACGTCGGGGCATGGAGGATGACCGTTAGGGTGCGGTGGGGAGTGTGCATTGTGGCACCCGGCTTCCACGTCTTGGCGCCAACACCGGCTATGCGGCTCCTGCGCAACTTTCACTTCGCCCTCATCGCCGCCTCACTTTTCGCTTTGTCAAATTTCAGACAGCCAGCTTTATTGAGTCAAGAGCATGCTCACGATACATCAGCGGCTCCTTCCATCTGCTATTTATTTTCTTAACCAGTATTGAACTTAGAAAACGCGCCTTAGCCACGAAGGAGCTGTCCCGTTGTGAGATCACACAGCCCAATATCAACTCTCACCAGTTCGTCCATCATGCTCTACTCACGCCCTGGTGGCTTTTCCAGTCGACCTTTGGCTCCTGCAGCCACTCCCAATCTTCAAAAGTTACCACGACGCTCTTCATAATGTGTTGGCTTGTTGATTGTCGGCATATCTTTTCCAACCCAATCGGCCGTCCAGTCAATCATGCGGGCAAGAGACACGACAGGGTAGCCGTATAAGCGCTGAGCGGCCAGCGTGCTGTTGTACCATCCATACTCTGATTCCGTCCCTTCAAAGATCGGTGTCTTGCCGAAACGACGGCCGAACTCATGTGCCGCCATCCGCACGCTCATATGCTCTGCTCCGCCGACATTGAGTGGACTAGTTGGTGTTGTGACGTGGGCCAGGGCCCCGAGTATCTGTGCGTTGCTGTCTCCTTGCCAGATGACTGAAGCATATGCAGTCTCGATCGGGATAGGAGTCCCGCTTTTCACCCACCGAGCGATGTCATGGAGGACACCATACCGCATATCGATGGCATAGTTGAGTCGAATAATTCGGCCTGGGGTGTTATGGCGCCGTGAGAAATAAGAGAACATGCGCTCCCTGCCGACACAGCTCATGGCGTAGTCGCCAGCCGGGCTTGGTTGGACACTTTCGTTCCATCCGCCGCCGCTGATTGGAGCGAAAGAGTAGACGCACAACGTCGAGAAGACGACAATGCGCGAAGCTTTGAAGCGTTCCGCTACCACGGCCGGTACATGAGTGTTCATTGCCCAGGCAAAGCTGGGATCTTCATCCGCACCAAACTTCTTGCCAGCCATGTACACAATGTTGGCGACGTCCGGTAATGAGGCAACGGCTTCTCTGTTCAGGAGATCACAGGTGATGGTTTCCAGGCCCCAGCTCTCGAGACGTTCGCGAAGACCGGCCTCCGAAAATCTTGCCACTCCAATGACTCGCTTCGATGGTGTCGCACGCTTCGCCATGCGAGCAATGGTTGGGCCTACTTTACCGCCGATCCCCAGAAACATGATATCCCCTTCCACACTCTGGAGCAGTTTCGGAAGCCAGATCGGTGGCCGCGATAAAAGTTCCTCGACTGCATCCTCCGACTCAATCGTGTCGGGCAGGTTATGTGCCTCGAGATACTCTGCCATGGTATCTTGCGGACGGTGCGAAAGAGAGGGGAGTACGCGGCTAGGTGTCGAAGCTTCACCCATGAGAACAGGGTCGACTATCGACGAGGCACTCCCTTACGAATGAACGAGAGTTTCAAGCGGTCTTCGGGGCGGCAACTGCATATAAGGATGAGTTGACGTCGTTTCTGGTGTTTTCGGCTCGATCTGAAAAAGATTTGAGAGGCTTGGAATCTCGACAATACCGAAATCAAATACCCATCGAGCATCTCTGCACTATTTTCAAATGTGCCGATCAACCACCTGTTTCCGCTCACCTGCAGGGTCCATTTGGAGAGTTTGTGGAGGAGACCCGCATTTCGACTCCCCCAAATCCAGGAACTCGGGTCGTTGCTGGAGACGAGGGGATTCAAAAAAAATGCTTGGAGATGCTGCAAGTCAAGTCGGCAATGGCTGGTTTGTGCCGCTACTGGTCTTCCCATCGCCACTCTGTTGTTGACACCAGACCGATACGTATGTCCAGCTTCTAAGCATCTGGTTTATTGAACCTGTCACGCGATGGCTCCTTGGACACACCTGCTTAGATTCCTCGCAGAGGAAGACGGCCAGGTGCATCTGGGTCAGGTTGATTCCAAGAAGTGGCCCGATGTCGGACTAGCAATATACAATGGCGAAAGGGTCGATGTCAAGCTGGTAACCGGGTCAGTCTTTGACGGTGTCGTGACGAATACCACGATGCACATATCAAAGGTGTGGCACGGATATGTGGCACCAGATGATATTCTCTGACTTTCTTCTAGCTCCTACCTCCCCTGGAGATATCTGAAGTGCCAATCATCCGCTGCTTAGGCTTAAATTATTACGAAGCTGCAAAGGAAGCAAAGGCACCTGTACCTGAAGTCCCCGTCTTGTTCGTCAGACCACGTACTGCGCTCAATGGACCATATCCAGCTGCAATCAACATTCCGAAAATTGCACAGGATGGAACGAGCGACTATGAGGCGGAGCTGAGCATAGTGTTGTCAAAGACTGGTCGGGACATATCGGAAGACGAGGCAATGGATTATGTGCTGGGGTACTCGTGTAGCAACGATGTCAGCGCTCGCACACAGCAGTTCAAGAACAGCCAGTGGTCGTTCTCGAAAGGTTTGTTGGCGGCTAGGTCTTATGGCGCTGAGAAGTTTCACTGATCTCGCTCGCAGGCCTCGACGGCTCTTGTCCTATCGGCCCCATCCTCGTCGCCCCTTCTGTGATAGAGGATCCGCATAATCTGAAGATTCGAGCAATCTACAACGATGGTGTCGTGCAAGATGCCAATACGCAGTGAGTCTCAAAGCAGGCATGCGCAATGCTCAGGAAAATTAATCGAGATGCCTCCACCCAGGGACATGATCCATAAGATCCCAAAGACCATTGCTTTCCTATCGCAAGGTACTACGCTGGAACGAGGCACCATTATCATGACTGGTACTGGTCCTGGCGTCGGCCTGTTCCGCAATCCCAAGGTGGTGCTCAATCACGGCGACGACATACGGGTGGAAATCGAAAAGATCGGCACCCTTATCAACAAAGTACATTACGAACAAGAATAGACCGCGGGGACCACCGCGCTCTACAGGCCGCTTTCGAGGTGAAGAAATTTATATATCATTGCTTGTCCTCTTTTCTATGGGCGATCTCCAGCCAGTATTTGTTGCATTCCTCACTCAACCGTCTTATATTTCCACCTATGGCCGAATCGGCGCGATCAATCGGACTCTGTGCTTCGCTTGGTGGTAAGGATTCCTCGATGAGGACGAGATATGCCTGCTTTCCAGGACCGCCTCCGTGGACTTTTCGTTCCGAAGTGCCCATGTTTCCGATCGCAGCGTCGGCCTTGTACAGTCTGACGCGTTCAACGTTGTCCGCCTCTGAGGCTGCTTGCACCCAACGTCGAGCGTAAATGGCTTCTGTCTCTTCGTCAGGCAGATCGAAGCGCAGCGACGTGATGTAGGGGGCGGCGAATGTCCTTGAGCAACCAACAACAGACAGCCTCGAGAAGACGTCCCGGGTTGGGTTGCGAAAATGCGTCAGAGCCTCGCGGGTCCACGGCGTCGGTTTATTGAGAGCAGCCATATATGCTTCCGACGAAAGGACCGATGTGGAACGTGTATCGTAGAACATCAAGAAGTGCGGCCTGTCGTCGAGCGCACGATATCTTCGACCTTCAACAAAGCCAGGGATGGAAACCCGCTCGGGGATATGCTCGCAGTTGTGCCATCGCTGGTACTTCAGCACGTACTCGGCGTCGATGTCGGCCCAGAACGCCATCATGCCGGTGCAGTCGTCCTTGTCGGTTTCGGTTGCAATCATGGCGGCGGATCTTGTGATGGTGCAAGCTTGGATGGGAATCTCGATGCTGGTCCCGGGCCTCCAAAATTGATGGACAAGCAGCCAGGTTAACGAGCTCAGGCTCGTCCCTTGAGATGTTGTAAGTCTTCCTATTCTATCTAGCGTCGGAAGAACCAGGGAATCCTCCAACTGCTGAATCAGTCCAGATGCGTTTCCTCCACGATCCTCCTCCACAGCCTTCCTCCACACCCTCCTCCAACACCCTCTCCACAGATGCCAGCAGTGCGTTTCCTGATATGGACCGAGATCGTCCTGACTGATCCACTCTTTATGTACCTGTCCCCTTCCGTGATATAGCACCAGGTTCGTTGCAACGATACCCAAGTATCTCAAATCCACAGCACGACCGACAACTACCATGGCTTCCCTCGACGAGGAGAAAGTAGACGTGGCCTTCGTCGAACGCTCTACGAGCCTCCAGGACCAGCCCGCTGTCAAGATGAGCACCTCAAAGTATCTATCAACACGCTTCTCGACGCTGAAGCCAACCTTGACAATCCCGCCAAACCCCATCAAGTTGCTCGGTCTCTTGACCAGAAAGAATTGGCTGTTCTTCGCGGTAAGTGGATGTTGTAATCATCACAATCAGCAACAGGTAGCTGACTCTGGAGCGACAGGTCGCCATGGCAGGCTGGACGTGGGATGCATTCGACTTCTTCACCGTCAGCTTGACAGTCACACAACTGGCAGCGGAATTCGACAAGAGCAATACAGACATCACCTGGGGAATCACCCTGGTGCTAATGGTGCGCTCCATCGGAGCAATTATCTTCGGCCTTGCCAGCGACCGATACGGGCGGAAGTGGCCCTTTGTGTTTGTCAACGTCATGTTTATTGTCCTGGAGCTGGGCACCGGCTTCTGCCAGACGTTCCGGCAGTTTCTGGCCTGTCGTGCCCTGTTTGGCATCGCCATGGGAGGTCTCTACGGCAACGCCGTCGCCACAGCCCTCGAAGATTGTCCCCTTGCGGCACGAGGAATCGTCTCGGGCATCCTCCAGATGGGATATATCCTAGGATACTTGCTCGCAACGGTCTTTGCACGCGCCCTCGTGGACACGACTTCACACGGGTGGCGCCCGCTGTTCTGGTTCGGAGCCTGTCCGCCCGTCCTGATCATCGCGTTTCGACTCACCCTGCCCGAGACGGAGACGTACCTCAACCGCGAGAGGGTGCGGAACGCGAGTAAAGCGACCGTGTCGACTTTCGCGCGCGAGTTCAAACTCTCCTTCACCAACCACTGGCTCCTCCTCGTGTACATGGTCCTCCTCACGGCGGGGCTGAACTTCCAGACGCACGGCACGCAGGATCTCTACCCGCTCATGCTCAAGAGCCAGTACGGCTTCTCGGCCAACGGCGTCACCATCACCAACGTGGTCGCCAACCTGGGCGGTTTCGCCGGCGGCGTGACCTGCGGCTGGATCTCCGACATCTTCGGCCGGCGCGCCACCTTGCTCGTCACGTTCCTCGTCTCGGCCACCCTGCTGTACCCTTACACCTTCGTCTCGTCCCGGGCGACGGCCGCGGCCGGATTTTTCGAGCAGTTCTTCATCGAAGGAGCCATGGGCGTCGTGCCCATCCACCTGCTCGAGCTGTCGCCCGGGTCGTTGCGCACCTTCTCCGTCGGCACGGCGTACCAGCTCGGCAACCTCGCCTCGTCGGCGAGCTCGACCATCGAAGCCACGCTCGGCGAGCGATTCCCCCTGGAACCCACCGCGGCGGGCGTCAAACGCTATCACTACGGCAAGGTGATTTGTATCTTCACCGCCTGCTGTCTGCTGTACAACATCTTGGTCGTGCTGATCGGGCCCGAGAAGAAGGGCGTCAGCCTCAACGTCGAGGATGACGGCGACATGAAGCAGGCCGTCGGGCACGAGCACGTCGATGAGATTCTGGCGGCCAAAATGCAGGCGGGCGTCCAAAGCAAGTGAGTGAGTGCGTCAGCAAGGCAGACTCCTTGGAACCCAATCAATCAAACCGGGTTGTTCCGTGGAAGTTGGTTCATTTGGTGTTTCTATTTTTTATTTCCCCCGGCCTTTTGTCACCAAACCCCACCCACTTGATGTATCAAATGCAAAATGCAAAATGCAAAATGCCAAAGTGACGAAAGATTAATATTCAGAGTCGTGCTCACCCACCCACTGTATACTCTCCTTTCTCTTGCATTTCGCTTTTCGCACACGCCCTCCCCGCCAGTGAGAAAGTCTTGCGTCTTTCTACACACCAAAAGCATAAGTGCGTGCCACGGGGCGGTATATTCATACATACATACGCATACACACACACGCACACCCACCATGCTTAGCCACGTAGCACGTACGTCGAGAGGAGAGGCCGCTAACAGATTCCTCTAATTAGTTATAGAGACAAGGGGAGCAACATTGTGAGGTTATATCGTCGGGATGAATGGGCTGCTGATCGCCGCAGTGGTGACGCGACATTTTCCGGAATCCACTTTGCATAGCATAGCGACAGACACGACACACCGAAAGACTGTGTGACCAGAACAAAAAATCTAGGCATGGGTATCATTTGCGTGTTTTCTTCATTCCTCTCACGTCCAATCCAGTACATTCCTGTCCCGACTCATTTTCATCAAGGTCGTAAAAAGATCCCAGTGCTGGGCCCTATGTTTGCAGCTTGCACAGTTGAAAACAACGTTCCCTTCCTCTGGCCAACAATCAAATGAACAGGTCATCCCGTTTCTGCACCTCCGCGTTCGTCAATCTCCCGCAGAGGCTGAGCAATGACACGGTTTCCGTCGTGGCGAACCAGTTGAGTGCATCGATCAAGATCTTCAGGTGTCTGTTGAAATGCTCCTCGTATTTCCGAATCGACTCTTCTATCCTCTTCATCCGTGCTGGATCTGTCGGTTGCGGAGGTGGTGGTGTCGCGCCTCCAGGCTTGGCAGGTTTCAATTGAATGCTCGTATCAGCGTCGTAGATGGACTTGGTGACGTGCTCGACGTAGGACGCAAACATCCCGCAACCGGTCATGAGCTTCGTATGTAACCGGAGGAGTTTGGCCTGCGTCAGGCCAAGGTCTTTCATGCATGAATCCAGCATGTCGACGTGATCTTGCATCAATTCATCGACTGTCGGCTTGGCCTTGGGGTTGAGTCCGGGCCTCATCTCTTCGGTGTCGTCTCGCTCGGCATCGTCCACCTTTTTCATGAGCTTTTGCCAGTTCGGCTCCAGGACTTCTGCCGTGGCGAAAAAGAGCATTTGTTGGACAAAGACAAGCATCCTGGACCGAAGCGTCCATACCCGCCGCTTCCAGAGCTCGAATTTCTTGTCGGACGACTTGTGGATCCACGCCCTCTCCTTGGTATGAGTAGACCAGCAGCCGACGAGCTGAGTCTCGAGGTGGCGAAGCGCGAGGGTGTACCTGAAGATGAGCTGATAGCGTTTCACCGTCTTGCGACTAATGATCAGGGATAGGGGGAAGGGCACTTGATAATCGAGCTCTAGTGCGTCGAATCCGATGATGTCCTTCTCCTCTTCCTTTTTCTTCTCTTCCTTCAACTTCTCCGTTGCGGAGATCTGCGAAGCGGCAGGCGTTTTGTATTGATCGATCACCGAATCCGGGTTGTCCTGATCCATGCCTTGCACGTTGACGACCTTGATTAGCCATTGCGTCAGTCCGACAGAGTTCATCTCCACCTTCACATCCTCTTTGAACGGGTCGGCGACTGCAATGCTGCCTGGTTGGTGAAGCACGAGATCCAGCAGCGACTGTAGCTTGCCAACATTGACGTCCCGATGCTTTTTACGCAGCTCAGAATCACTGAGTTCAAGGAAATAGAGGAAGAACTCGGCCCGGTCTAGGAAGAAGTAGTGTTTCAGGGACCGCAGTCGACTTCGAAGAGAGTTCTTGGTCAGGAGGAGATGTAGCAGCTCCTTGTTGGCGAAGGAGTATGCGGTGTTGACATTGTCGAGAAAGCGTGGGTCGTCGAATGTGGCGGGTGTATCGACGATCTTGCTGCTGATGTTTACACCACCACATTCACGCACCACATTCAGGTACTTGCCCGCTAAGAGGACCTTCTCCCGCATGGCGTCCAGTTGTGGCGGTACTTCTTTCTCCCGGATGTAATATCGCTTCTCCCAGTATTCATCGGTATAGTCCTCATCAAGTCGTTCCCGCTTAATACTGGCCCGTTCACCAATCAGAAATTCCGAGTGGGGATCATTGATGCCTCCATGGTGAAGCCATTCATTAAGCATGACCATGTAAGGCCGGCTGGACTCCCGGAGGAGCATCTCTAGGATTGATCTGGCAGCGGGATCACCAGAGAACGTGGAGAGTCGGGTTGTCAGTAATCCCAGAACATTACCACCAATGCATCGTTTCTTGGCCAGACTGCCCGGTAGCAGATCTCCGCCTTCCTTGAGCCGCTCGATGATGTTGTCCGCGTCGAAGTCGTCGATGGAATCATCGATGTCTTCTTCCAGGAGGGAATTCTTCTTTAAAAGTTCTTGAGCGAGTGAATATAACTGAGTCAGACACTGCGCGGTGGGAATGATGGCGATATGCATCTGATGCAATGTAAACTTTGGATCTGTGAGGACCTTCATCTCCAGCTGAGCAATCAAGATGAGGTAGTCCTTTAGAAGCTTCCGGATTGCTGCACAGAGAGCGTGATTGACCGAACCAAATTCTTCGCGACTCTGCACCTCGATGAAGGCCTCAATCGCGCAATGATGTGTGGCCATGGAAAGCATCGACGTTGTGAGGTCTCGCAAGCTCGGGTCGAGGCCGGGCAGCGGATGGAAAGAAGGCCCATTGAGGCGGTGTTTTTCTTCCGCAGGGTCGTAGCTGTCTTGGAACCGCACGTACTGCCCTTCGAAGCCCATAAACACATACAGTAGATCATCCAGTAGTGCATGTTCTTGTTCCTGCATGGACAAGTGATCGAGAGGCAGAGGGTCAAGATCTGCGGGGGCGTGGCGCGATAAAGGCGGCACCGTAACCCTCACAGCAAGAGGTGCGGAAGAATGAGGGATGAGCGATACCGAAGGTGCCCATGGCGGGGAAGGCGTGCTGGCATCTTCATCTGGCTGCTTAAGCACAGGACTGACTACACTCCGCCTCGCACCATTCCGGGCGGCAGTATTCGGGGGCTCCTTCTTTGGACTTCTCCTTGTGTATATGGTCTCCGTTGTCGTGATGGTTGACTTCTCCCTTCGTCTGTATTCGAGACCACTCAATCGCCTCTCGGCGTTGGAGGCTACGTTGGCTCCATTCCCCGGATCTGCGTTGCCATCTGGCAGGACTGGAGAGCCGGCGTCGCGGGCAAATGGTCGCTCGTCTCTGGTGGCTCTGCTCGAGTTCACGCGTGTGGTGCCGTTCGAAAACTGCGTACTTCTTCGATCAGTAGCGGAGGCGCTTCTGTAGTGGAGAGAGGTCATATTCGTCGGCGGTCATCGTCGTCGTCGTCGTCGTAGTGTGTCAAAATACTGCAACTTCTTACGGAGCATGTGGTGGGGGTGATGTTTCGCTGTGTTTCGTCAGTGGCAGCGGAGCGCGTCGCGCTTGCATCGACGAGGCTGAAAAGCTTGGCGCAGAGAGGGAGTCGCAAGGCTGAACTGCATTGCGCATCCCCAGCTTGCCTGTCCTCCAAAGCCACCAACCTCGTTTTGCAACATCTGGTGCTTCGCGAGACACGACCCGATCCTCGCCCCTCTCAAAACCACGGATTCGCCTGATAGCAATACCTTTTCCTCCCGGACCGTCCTCGTTGTCGAGTTCCCACCATGTTTATTGCAAGATCCGAATATGATCGAGGGATCAAGTGAGCGGCTTCACATCCACGTAGAAGTATCGAGCTAACATAGGACAGCACCTTCTCTCCCGAGGGCCGTCTTTTCCAGGTCGAATACTCGTTAGAGGCCATCAAGCTTGGGTCGACGGCCATTGGAGTACGGTCAATGCATGTTCTCTCGGTGAATCATAAGTCTAACACGTCCAGGTTGCTACGTCGCACGGCGTACTTCTCGGTGTCGAAAAGCGCGTCACATCCCCCCTGCTTGTCTCCTCCAGCATAGAGAAGATCGTCGAGATCGACCGACATATTGGCTGCGCCATGTCCGGTCTCCAAGCCGATGCGCGGAGTATGATCGAGCACGCCCGTGTCGAATCGCAGAACCATGCCTTCAACTTCAACGAGAAGCTCGGCGTCGAGAGCTGTACCCAGGCGATCTGCGATCTGGCATTGAGGTTTGGTGAAGGAGCCCAGGGAGAAGAGTCGATCATGAGTCGCCCGTTTGGTGTTGCCCTGTTGATTGCAGGCTGGGACGAAGATCAAGGGCCCCAGTTGTGAGCCACGTACTACATTGAAGGAGTTAGACCATCTGCTTACGCGTGGCAGGTATCACGCAGAACCGTCAGGCACATTCTACCGCTACGACGCAAAGGCAATCGGGTCCGGCAGCGAAGGCGCCCAGGCGGAGTTACAGTCAGAATACCACAGATCCCTCACCTTGGAAGAGGCCGAGACGCTCGTCTTGAAGACGTTAAAGCAGGTCATGGAGGAGAAGCTGGATTCGAAGAACGTCCAATTGGCGAGCGTCACGCGCGAGAATGGCTTCCGAATCTATTCCGACGAACAAATGAGCACGGTGGTCGCCAGGCTCGAGGGGGATTAGACTAGGAGTACGAAACAGCATGTAATATCATGTGCATCGTTTGGCGTCAGGGGCGGGCAGAAAACACCATGCTCAGGGCATCCAAATTGAAGACATCTCGACAACTTTGAACTCATGCCACCTTTTTCCACACCACAAGTGATCGGTTGATGCTCTGCTAATGATTTTATCTCAGATCTATGGCCGGTTGGACATTGACGACCGCCTCCAAGGGCTAATCTCAGATCTATGGCCGGTCGCACGTATTGACTACCGCCTCAAAATGGCTAATCTCCGTCTCTGATCTATTTACTCGGTCGGACGCTCGGCTTGAGGAGTGATGCGGGCAATGTGTCGTCGCTGGCCATCTTGCCAGTCAATGAGAGCCGAGTGCGCAGTGACCTGTTCTGGTGTCAGCGAAGTTTGCAGGGAAGAATCACCGTCTCGACCTACGCGGTTGTCCCACACCACGACGGTGTTCGGCCTCCATCTAACACGGGCCTGAATGTCCTGACTCCACGCGATGTGTTCATACAGGAATTTCAGGAGGTAATCGCTCTCCTCTTGCTTGAAGCCCACGATATACCGGGTGAACTGGGGGTTGACAAAGAGCGCCTTCTCTCCGGTAGCCGGGTGAGTCCGCACGACCGGGTGGATGGATCTATACTCTGTCAGTCAAACTCTACAGGCCTCAAGCGAAGCAAACCAAACTTACGAGACTGGGGCACGGCGGTAGATGCTTCCTCGGTTCTTGGCCGCCGTGGCTTGCTCATAGCCCGAGTGGACAGCCTGCAGTCCGGCAAGACGTTCCTGGAAAGCCGGGGAAAGTCGCTCATACGCTTTGGCCATGTTGCAGAACAAGGTGTCGCCGCCTGCTTCCGGGATGTCGAGGGCGTAAAGGAACGTCGTCCCAGGAGGCTGGTTCTCATACGTCACATCACTGTGCCACGCGATCGAGTTGGTCCGGCTGGTCAAGAAATCGGCAAAGGTCTTGTCGTCGGCGGCTCGATGGACAAGGTGGACCTCTGGGAATCCTTCAGGGGCTCCGCTGTGGCAACAAGGGTCAGTCTTCGAGTATCGAATAGACCGCGTCCAAGCCTACCTGGTGGGATGGATGTGCAGTCTTCCAAAGTATCGTCCGAATTCCAAGGCTTTCTCAATGGGGAGAGAAGCGAAGTCCTGGTCCCGGAAAGCAACGACCTTCTTCTGGGCCACAAGGAGAGCCAACTCGTCCTTGCCCTTGTTGTCGAGTTGCGAGAGCTGGACGCCCGTGACCTCTGCGCCGATCGAAGCCGTGATGTCTTCTAGCTTGCTCCCTTCCTTGAGGAGGTTCTTGAACGAGGGATCTGCATCTTTGCCGTGCTCATAGTGCTCAAAGGGTTCCAGTGGCTTGTATGTCTCGCCTTTTTCATTGTCCTGGTCAAATTCGTCAATATACACGTCCAAGAAGATGCCAGCCAGGATAGTACCCAGCCGCCAACATTCCGAGGACTGCGACAGGAATTCGAAAGACGAAACTACTCACCCAGACAGGAAGATAGTGCGGGAAGCTCGCCGGTGCGAACTTGCCCGTGCCGGACAGTTCCTTTTCCTTTTCGTAACTCACGGTTTGGATGTCCTTGTAGGCACCGACCCCGCCCTTGGGCGCAGGAGGTAGAGACGCGGTGGCCATGTTGGAAATGTATCTCACTTATGATACGGTGCTCGTATAAGATCTTACAGTCTGAAAGCCAAGTAACGAGTGATTGAGATATTCGCTCGAAACTAAAGTCAAAGTCCATGCAGGCCGGCGAGGACCCCGTCTTTTATACCACGCCATGGGTAATCGGCACGACCAGCCAGCGTGCGGCGTGCAGCGGGCAGCATGCGTGTGTGCTCTTGCGCCATTCTCCAAATCTTGGGACTTTGCTCATCAAATGGATTGCATTCCTTCGAAGTTTGTTCCTTTCGCCATCCGAAACATCAACCCCGCAGGACAGGACAGGGTAGGGCATGACAGGGCAGGACAATGCCAGGGGCCACCAGGGGACCATGGGAGACAGGCCATGCCAACGTCGGCCTCAAGCGTGCGCGCGTTCCATGTGCACTTCTCCGATGACGGCGACATGGGCAAAAAAAGGTCAGAGAGGACAAGACAATCGTCACGCTCCCGTTGGTCTCAGAGGACGATACGCGACCCCAGCCAGTACACGCTCAGTGGTGAGTGGGTGAGGTGCGATTGCGTGGGTGCTCACGAATTCTCGGTCCATATTGCGTGATCGCTGAAGTGGGAAGGTCCAGAGCGATTGCGCGACGAAGCGAACGCTGCGAAAAAGGGCACCGCCATCACATATCGCAGATCCCATGGAACCGGTAGAGAACCGACGAACACCGTCTGGCGAGTTCCATTCCGTGCTGATAAGCCGTTCCCACCAATTAGCATTCGAGCGACAGGCCGTCCAAATGTTCTTGGTCTTACACAAATGCAATCGTGCACAGGCGGCCACGTGGGATCCGATGTGATAGCGCCGGCCTCGCATCATGGTATGAATGCGGGCACCACGAAGCATGAGTACGAGCACCAGCATGAGTGCATAGGCTGGCTGTTTGTGTGTGTACATGACAAGGCGCTCGACGGCTTGGTCGAACAACAGATCATATACCAGAGGCAGCAGGACCAGGACGAGAAGCAAGACTACCCCCAACTTGATATGCAAGGGAGAAGGACTGACAGGACAGGCAGATTAGAGCACAGAGACACTTAAAGAGACGACCACAGCAAGGAGAGTGGAAGTGTCTTTCATCGGACAAGTTGCTCCTCGTACGCGTTCTGTACTGCGAGATCCCTATCCTGATGGTTTTTGATCCTATCTGATTGTAGCCACGCGTGTTAATATTCAGCCCGTCATGCAGTGAATTGGCATACTCGTCCGTATGTCAGGGCTGCAGCTCAGCGAGCTCGAGGTCGTCAATCGTCAAAGGTGCAACATCGTCGTTGCCAGCCGTGTGGGCGTGGGATTGGGATGGCAGTAAGGTTTGGAAGAGCGGCAGTGGGAGAGACGAGGTGGTCTCGCAAGAGTAGAGTCGGTGTACGTACGTCCGAAACGGCAGAACAATGAGCATCTAGTGGTGCGGGTCTTGCTCTTGGACATATATAGTGAGTGTGATTACATAGGCGTTGCGTTGTCACACTGAACACTGTACACGGTAAGAGTAAGAGTAAGGTATTGAACCTGGTAGAGCTGATTGCTGGTGGCATGGGCTTACTCCATTGTTTAGATTTTATCTAGATCTCTTATGGTGCTCGCGCACCAGCACCTTCTTCCTCCATTCGCAGTCATGCAAGAGGAAGCCGGATCCTCGCCCGTAAGGCGGAGTACTGTACATATTGTAACCACAGACGGCCACACAATCTACGTGTGCTTATACAATCCACATCAAGTCGTACCGGCACCTGATTGTGTCGACTTTGTGAGACCAAGCTCCTCGTAGAAGGCGTCTGTTTTGGGTTCTCGTCCGAGGAAGTCGATGAGCGTCTTCATCTCATCTTGGCTGCCTCCTTTCTCCAGCACTGTGTGTCTATACCGCCGGCCTTCTTTCGGATCCATAGGATCCTTCTTGAACACCGTGTAGAACATGTCTGTCGAGTAGACTTGGGACGACAGATAGCCGTAGTAGCCTGGGACGAGTCAGCATCAGCATTACGAGGCGTGAAAAGAACGCCTTACCAGCATCGTAGCCACCCATGAGATGACCAAACGTCGCCTGCCCGTTACCCCAGCCATTGCCCTCGCCCAATACCTCGG